GTCGCACCTTACAAATATGCCTCCAGCGTCCGCAGCCCTCACCCCGCCATCCAGCCTTTGCAGGTGAGGCCTGCCAAAAAGAATGCTAAAAGGATTTCCCGTGTTTGCTCTTGGTTGAAAAGATACCTTGCTTTGATTCCTCCAACAGGTATAAATGCCTGCTCCGTGTCAGGGTGCTGTGTTTTCTGTGATGACACTGCCTTTGAGGGGCTCTCTGTACTGGGAGAGAAAGGGCTGGAAAGTATTCTTCTCTTGTAATAGTCCACTCAGGAATGCCCCGGCAGAAACAGCTGGTGTTTCTGACCTCTTTTTTTTTTTTTTTTTTTTTTTAAATCTGTGTGTGCTTGCTTAGCTTGTTGAGCTTCTTACGTCCACTGCCAAGTTGATCCTTAGCTGCTCGGCAAGATTGGGACATAAAAGCAGGAAACAGCTTCGTGTGACAGATGAGAAGTTCAGCTTCAGAGATCGTGGGTCGGGGTCGGGGGACTGGCCCCAGAGCCCAGCAGTAATTTGCTTAAAGGAGCCACACTGCCTTGTGGCCTCTGAGCTTGCTTGCTCCTGCTTCACACTCTAAGTAAGAGATGCCTCAGAACATTGCTCGTGTGAAGTCATTTGTACTTTCAGGGCCTTACTTGTAATTTTAGGGCTGCGACTGGCCTTGGCCATGCATGTTGACAGTCCTCAAGCATTTGATAGAATAAAAACACTGGGTACAAATTTGATGATTGCTGAGCCTTGTAGGTTTATTTTCTTACTCATTTCCCTTTTATTCCTAATAGCATGCTGTTTTTACTGTATTTGGTTTTGTGTTCATGCCTGTACCACTCTTGCCCATGTAGCACCCTCATTCCCCAAGCTTACAGTTAGTTCCTTGGCAGCAAGGACAGCCACCTTCATCTCTGTCACATTAGTAGGCTTTCAGATTGGCCGGACGGAGGACCATCAAGTATACTTTCCTTGTTGCTTACCTGCTGCCTCTCCTGGTTCCTAGGCCCCCCAGCCTGCTGTCCATGTACAGGGGCAGGAGCCCCTGACCGCCTCCATGCTGGCTGCAGCACCCCCCCAGGAGCAGAAGCAGATGCTGGGTGAGTGACCCACGTATTTGCAGAAGAGGAAGCCAGAGCCTGGTGTTGACCTGAACACCAGCACCTAATTCTGCACTGGGATTCAACCGGTTTTCAATTAAACATCTTCCCCCAGGAGAACGTTTATTCCCACTCATCCAAACCATGCATTCAAACCTGGCTGGAAAAATCACAGGCATGCTGCTGGAGATCGACAACTCTGAGCTGTTGCACATGCTGGAGTCCCCCGAGTCTCTCCGCTCCAAGGTGAGCTGGCCCCGAGATGCTGCAGCTTTTGCTTGCTCCACCTGGGACAACAAGGGGTGGCCTCAGCACTGGGTGTGGCGGAGAAAGGATCGGCCATCTCCTGACCGTCTCCTCACCTGTGATGTGAGGGCTACTGTAGGGTGGAAATTAGAAAAAGCAAGCGGGCTGCACTAGGAGACACTGGGAGGGGCCGAGGACCTCTCGTCCAATGTCACTAACCACCTGGAGATTCCTCACAGGTGGATGAAGCTGTGGCGGTTCTACAGGCTCATCATGCCAAGAAAGAAGCTGCCCAGAAGGTGGGCGCTGTTGCTGCTGCTACCTCTTAGACAAGGAAAAACCGTATGTTTGGCTGTTTTTGTTTTCTACAGTGGCTTTGACTTGTGACTATCTTTCTAAAAGATGAGGGGCAGCGCATATAGAGAGCCATGTTTTTTGCCATCATAACCTGATAACTTTTGGGCAGGTTGTCACCTGGGTTTTCTCCAGAAGGATCACCTGGTTAGATCTTTCTCAAGAAAGACCTTTTTGGTTTAGAGTAATGACAGATACACAGGTGGTGTCGTAATCAGATCCCACAGCCTCATGTCTATGTACTTCTTGGTTTGGCTTGAGGTTGGTGAGGTCAGCTGTATGTGCAGCCATGGCTTGGCTCTGGGAACACAAGGCACACAAGCCCTGGTGTCGGAGTGGGACAGGCAGACACACCTGACAACAGTTACAGGATGTGTTCTAGTCGACTTCTGACCCTGGGGCCTATGGCCCCCCCCCCCCGTCTGCAGGGGCGGGGGTGAGTGAAGCCTATCTGGGACCTCTGACAAGGACTGGTGGGTGCCTTCTGATGGAGGGAGGAGAGAACCAGATGAACCAGAGGCAGAAGCCAGGGAAAAGGACATGTGGTAAGGGCCCAGACCCTTCATTTGGAATTTAAACAAAGAGAATGGTAGCTTTGAGTACAGGGTGGGCCAGGAAGGGCCCGGGGCTTTATGGGATCTAGCTAGCCTCAGAATGGGTGCTTCTCAGCCAGGGGTGCCCCCTCACAGGACATTTGCCAACAGAGACCTAATTTTGGTTGTCAACTGGAGATCAGTCACTGGTATCTAGTGGGTAGAGGCTGGGGATCCTGCCAAATGTCCATACGCACTGCTCTCTGCAGTACTTCCTTTTAAAAGCCAGAGATTTCAGTGCATCTCTAAAGTTTTTCTATTATTTATTTATGCTGGTGCTTTTCTTTTCAGGATTCAAAAGCCAAATAACCCCTCCTGGAATTCAGCTCAAGGTTTGAAGATTTCTAGCGTGTCCTATGGACCTCAACACCAGGAACCACAAATTGGAAATTTAATAGGTCATTTTGTATCAAAAGGTCAATTATGAAGCACCTAGAATTTTTCAATTTAAAGAATATATTCTCTGGGTTCTGCTTTGGCCCAGACAGTGTTAACTTTTTTTTTTCTATCGTGGGTTTTGATTTTTTTTCCCCCCAGAAATTGGTTTTATTTGATGTACCCAAGTCTTAAGTTTCTCAATAAAGAAAAAAATCTCCATAAAACTGCCTGTCCGGTTTCAACCAGACCAATTCTATTCTGTTAATAAGTTCAGTTTTCACTGAAAGTAATTTTAGGATGTATTTAGACCCCAGTGAAGTTCTGTAGAGCTTATTCTTTCCTGATGGTTATAAACACACTATTCTGGGTCAGCAAGGTATGTGGAGCTGTCCCATTCCAGTCTGTCGTGGGAGGACCTTTAGGATATACCCCCATTTAACTTATAGGAGATAGGTGTCTGATCATTGCAGACCTGGCATCTGGCACAGGAGAATCGAGTGCAGGGTGGGGTTGGCACATGTCTGAAGGATGTACGGTGAGATAGGCGGAACCCAGCCCCTCCCTCCTTGGATGTGTTAGCTGGGTTTGTGGGTCTCCTCTTCTGCAGTCAGTTGATTGTGTAACTAAGGTTTCTTCTGGCAGTGGGCGAAGAAGGCTTGGGGGCTAGGTGGGAGTGGCAACGGCAAACAATGCTGGAGTCCTAAGTGTGGTTTTACTTTAGTCTTCAGAAGGACCCTCACCTGGCCAAGGTTTTAACCAGTCTTGCTTTCCCCATCCTCCAGGAACAACACGACTTTTTATCTCCCTTGAAACTTGGCAGGCTGTCCTTCCTTGGGGCCTTACCCAGGGGGTTATTTTCCTGGGAATATGGAATAAATCTTTCCTCCTTCGCAGGCTCCCCATTTTTTAAAAATGTTTGGTCTCCCCTTAAATAAAGGTCTGATTTACACAGCAAAGGAAACAAAACTAGGACAACCTGCTGAATGGGAGAAGAGTCACATCCAATACAGGATTAATATCCAAAATGTATAAAGAACTTTTATAACTCAGCGCATCTGGCTAACTCTGTCGGTAGAGCATGCAAATCTTGGTCTCAGAGTCGTGAGTTTGTGCCCCATATTTGGACAGAGAGCCTACTCAAAAAACAAACCAGGGGCACCTCGGGGGTTCAGTGGTTGAGCCTCTTCCTTCAGCCCGGGTTCCTGGGATCAGGTCCTACATCAGGTGCCTGCCTCTCCCTCTGTCTATGTCTCTGCCTCTCTGTGTCTCACAAATAATTACATCTTAAAAAAAAAAAAAAAAAACCAACCCACATAATCTAAAACATGGGCAGCAGATGTGAACAGACATGAGAAAATGCTCACCCATCACTCATCAGGGAAATGCAAATCAAAACAATAAGATAGCACTTCACACCTGTCAAAATGACTAAAATCAACACACATGGTCAAGGATCTGGACAACTAGGGATCCTTGTGTGCTGTGAGTGGTAATGCAAACTGGTGCAGCCACTATGAAAAACAGTATGAAGTTCCCTCAGAAAATACAAATAGAACTACCCTATAATCCAGTAATCACACTACTGGGTATTTACCTAAAGAACACGGAAATACTAATTCAAAGGGATACGTATTGTCCCTATGTTTATTGCAGCATTATTTACAATAGCCAAACTATGGGAGCAGCCCGAGCGCTCTCAGATGAGCGAATGCATAAAGAAGTGTACACACACACGAGTATCCTTCAGCCATAAAAATGAAATCTTGCCATTTGCAACAACATGGGTGGATAGAGGTAAAGAGTGTAATGCTAAGCAAAATAAGCCAGGGAAAGACCCACCATATTTCACTCACGTGGGATTTAAGAACAGGAACAAAGAAAAAAAGCAAACCAAAACAGACTCCAATACAGAGAACAAACCTGCGGTTACTAGAGGGGAGGTGGGTGGGGGGCATGGGGATTACATTTATCGTGAGCCCAGAGCAGCGTGTGGAATCCCGAATCCCGCTATGTTGTACACCTGAAACAAGTACACCTAACGTTAATTATATTAATCACACTGATGTTAAAATAAATAGAAATAAAACAAAGCTCCAGTCTCGAAGTGGATTCCCGCGTCCCCCGCCTTCGGCGGTTAATGTGCCTGTGTCCCCAGCCCCGGATCCACCTGCCCCTCCGCTACAGGTGCACCACGCGGGGCGCAGCGGCGAGGGGGCGGGGCCTGCGCTACTGCTTCCGGCGGAAGCGCGTGGGAAGATGGCTGCCGCCGAGGCCGAGCCGTGCGCTGTGCAGGCAGGTGGGGGCTCTGTTGAGGCGAGGCGAGGCGGGGCGGGGGGGGGGGGGGTCTGGTGGCTCTGCTCTCCCAGCCTGTGAACGGCACCCGCCACCTGAGGGCCTTGCTGGGCCTGGCGCTGCCCGGAACCCCTTCCCCCGGGACCCCGGTCTCGGAGGGTTGGTGAGAGCTGTTCTTGCGACTTGGGGCCGCATTGCAAACTCCCGCGGCCCCGGCGCCTTAGAGGAAGGAGTTCACAGGCTCGCGGGGGAGTTCTGGAAGCATCCTTCCTGCAGGGGCTGGTGAGCGCCGCGGTGCCTGCGTGTGATGGACCGGGTCGATGGGGGTCGGGCGCAGGGTTTCGGGAACGAGCGCTGAGGGCGGAGGGGACGGGGGGGCGGGAGGGGAGGGCAGGGCAAACCTCCCCGAGGCACGGAGCCCCGAGCTGGGTTTGCAACATCAGGAGTGAGGCTGTTGCCTGCGAGGAGAGCAGCAAGCCCGCCGAGGGCTGAAGCAGCCTGACGTCCCGGAGCGAAGCGTTTGCGTCGAGGGAGCGCGGGGGCCTCGCCTTCCGCGCGGAGGAATTTGGACTCTGTCGGAGGGCATTAGCGGGCTTCGGGGGAATATGGAGCAGGAGAGTGAGGTGATCCCATTTGCACTCTTGGATTCATTCCAGTGACTGTATAGAGGCGTGGAAGCAGGGAAGGTATCCCAGCAACCGGACGCTGGACGGAGGCCTGACGGGGGGGGGGGGGGGGGATGGGGCGGGGCGGCCCGCACGAGGCGTTTTGCACACCCACAGCCTGAGGGATTCCTTCTGCCCTTCCCTGTTGCTGTTTTGCTGGGTGTTGCAGCAGCTTGTACCAACGGCGTGGAGGGCATTGGTTCAGAGGGCACTTGGTGTTTGCAGGTGGACTGGGAGAGGAGGTGGAGGACAAAGTTCCTCATGCTGCCTTTTTTTTTTTTTTTAAGATTTTTATTTATTTGTAAATGAGAGACCCAGAAGGAGAGGCAGAGACACAGAGGGAGAAGCAGGCTCCATGCAGGGAGCCCGACGGGGGACTCGATCCCGAGATCACGCCCTGGGTCGAAGAACGAAGGCAGACGCCGTGAGATGCTTCCCCGCGAAGCCCCCCAGGCATCCCGCCTCGTGCTGCTTTTATTCCTTTCCGGGGACATCGCACTTTTTTTTTTTTTAAAGCTTTTATTTATTTATTCATGAGAGACACAGAGAGAGAGGGAGGCGAAGAAGCAGGCTCCACACAGGGAGCCCGACGTGGGACTCGATTCCGGGTCTCCAGGGTCAGCTCCTGGCCGAAGGCTGCGCTAAACTGAGCCACCCGGGCTGCCCGCATCGCAGACACTTAATTCCCTCCGGAGAAACAGGTGAGACCTTTCAATATCTCTTTTTCAGATTCCTAACGTCAGGAAAAGAACTCAAGAATTTTAAGTCCTATGCATTCTGGGTATGGTTGGTGTGTAATGAAGTTCAGCAGGATGTCTCTCTAGGTCAACAGGGCTATGATCTTGGTGATGGAAGAGGAACGTTCTGAGGACAACAGGTCCAGGATGGTGCTGTGACTATGGGCTGACATTGAAATTGAAGGTTTGTTGGATTTGAGGAAAGGCTTTCTCCACATTGGAACCATTTGGGGCCTTTGATTTCTGATCATTTAACATAAAAACTTTGTAGCAAGATTCAGCAGGAAGATAGTTTAGAAAAACCTTGAAAGGTCTGCTGTGTTGTTTCACACCACCTGCTGGATAGCCGTCCCCCCACCACACCTGCTGACCAGACCTCCCAATTGGCAGCTGTGCTTTTAAATAGCAGAGGGCAGCCGGGCAGCTCAGCTGCAACAGTGGGAGCCTTGGCCTCTGCTGATGGGGGCCGGGAGGGGAGTTTCCCTGAAATTGGTTTCACAGTTACAGGGCACGTTTCTATTTGATCCTTGGTTGTTATTCTCCAAGATAGGAGTTTTATTTTATTTATTTTATTTTATTTTATTTTATTTTATTTACTTATTTATTTATTTTAGTTATTTATGATAGTCACAGAGGGAGAGAGAGGGAGAGGGGCAGAGGGAGAAGCAGGCTCCATGCACCGGGAGCCTGACGTGGGATTCGATCCCGGGTCTCCAGGATCGCACCCTGGGCCAAAGGCAGGCGCCAAACCGCTGCGCCACCCAGGGATCCCCAAGATAGGAGTTTTAAACCCAGCCGTGCCACTGACTCCGGGGTGATACTTAACCTCTCTGATCCTTCGTTTCTTTTTTTTTTGAACAGACTTTTTTTAAAGATGATTTTATTTATTTATTCATGGGAGACATAGAAAGAGAGATGGGGGTGGGGGCAGAGACACGGGCAGATGGAGAAGCAGGCTCCATGCAGGGAGGCTGACGCGGGACTCGATCCCAGGATCCAGGGATCATGCCCTGGGCCGAAGGCAGCGCTAAACCTAAACCACTGAGCTCCCCCGGGCTGCCCTGGTGCTTCGTTTCTTTCGTTTTTTGTTTTTTGTTTTTTTTTAAAGATTGTATTTATTTATTTGAGGTTTTTTATTAGTCTATTTCCGATTTTATTTATTTTTTCATGAGAGACACAGAAAGAGAGAGAGAGGCAGAGATACAGGCAGAGGGAGAAGCAGGCTCCATGCAGGGAGCCTGATGGGGCTTGATCCTGGGTCCCCAGAATCACACCCTGGGCTGAAGGTGGCGCTAAACCGCTGAGCCACCCGAGCTGCCCCAGTGCTTCATTTCTTAAATAAAACAGGAAGACTGGCTCTTGGGGCCTCTACTATCCTTGAATTCTAAAAATTATTACCTCCTGTTTTTCTCGCTCCCTGCCAGCTAACGTGTTTTCCTGAGGACAAGCACCAGGCTGCCTTCCCTACGAGTCACCTAACTCAGTGGGGTCAGTGCTCTGTACTCATCTGGTACTCAGTTGGAGTGAATAATTGATAAGCAACGTTGTCTACACTTCGTAAGTCTTATAAACAAAAGTTATTCACATGCTCGGAAAGTAACTTAAGGCTTAGATTCTGTGGTGGTAGACTTGGATACTACAAAGTTTAAAAATTCACTTCATTGTTTAGTTATGTTTATTTAAAACAAAGTGACAAAGTGGAAGCCTCTAAAAATTAGATTTTCATTCTTTAAAGGGCATCTGGATATGGTCTCTAACTATTGCTCACACACTGGTGACCTACTTCTGCTATTGTAGAAAAGCACCGAGGATTTGCTTTTGTTGTATTTGAGTTGACAGACGTAAGAAATTTTCCTTGTTTGGTATTTGACTAGTGTTGCCTTTTTTTTTTTTTTTTTAAGATTTTATTAGAGACTGAGATAGCAAACAGAGATAGTGAGAGACTGCATAACCAGGGAGGAGAGGCAGGGAGCCTGACTTGGGTGCTCATTCCAAGGACCCCAGGATCATGAGCTGAAGGCAGATGCTTAACTGACTGAGCCACCCTTGACAAGTGTCACTATTGTCGTTGAGTACCAAAGGTGCTATTCTCCATTTGGATAGATGCAGTGGATTCCTGGGGCTGCCCTAACAAATCACCACAAACTTGGTGGCTTAGCACAACAGAAATTCATTCCCGTAGCTCTTCTAGCTCTGGAGGCTAGAAGTCCTAAATCAAGAACATGGCAGGTCCATGCTCCCTCTGAAGGCCCTAGGGAAGAATCCTTTCCTCCCAGCTCTTCCTAGCTCCTGGCAATCCTTGGCATTCTCTGGCCTGTAACTGCATCAGCCCCCTCTTTGTCCCTGTCTTCATATGGCCTTGTTCCCTGCATGTGTCTCCTCTACTTTTAAGGATTCCAGTCATGGTGGGGATCCCTGGGTGGCTAAACGGTTTGGCACTTACCTTCAGCCCAGGTCGTGATCCTGGAGACCCGGGATTGAGTCCCGCTTCAGGCTCCTTGCACGGAGCCTGCTTCTCCCCTGCCTGTGTCTCTGCCTCTGTCTCTCTCTGTGTGTCTCTCATGAATAAATAAAATCTGGAGATCCCTGGGTGGCCCAGCGGTTTAGCGTCTGCCTTTGGCCCGGGGCACGATCCTGGAGTCCCGGTATCGAGTCCTGCGTCAGGCTACTGGCATGGAGCCTGCTTCTCCCTCTGCCTTTGTCTCTGCCTCTCTCTATGTCTATCATTCATAAACAAACAAACAAATAAATAAATAAATCTTTAAAAATTAAATAAAAATACATAAAATCTTAAAAAAAAAAGGATTCCAGTCTTGGGACTTAGGGCCCAGTGTAATCCAGTATGACCTCATCTTGACTAATTATGTCTGCAAAGACCCTATTTCTAAATAGGGTCACGTTCTTAAATTTGGGTAGGCATGAAATTTTGGGGGACACTATTCAATCCCCAAAACCCCAGTTTGATGGTGACAGTTGCCAGGGGACAGGAAGTTCTGGTTGAAGGAAGGCCCACCAGGCCCGGCTCATAGTTCCCCTCATGAAGTCAGAACATGGAAGACAGATCCTGAGAGCCCCAAGCCTTCCAGGGCCTGGCGTTGCTAGTTCCTATTTCCTGTGTGTATTCTATTCCCATAACCTGAGCACATATCCTTGCATCACCAGCTCTCACAAGCAGTTACTACGTGCCCTTTGTTAGATGTGTATAGTCGAGGTGGGTAGGAAGGCAAAATGTCTTTTTTTCCTGTGCTTGTGCTACTGAGCTTTCATTTGAGTGCCACCATAGGAAGAGTGGGACTGCAAGCATGAACTCCCATATTCTCTTAGCAGGAAGCTGCAGCAGCAATCGACAACGTGGTCTGGCTGAGACTGCTTTTTTTTTTTTTTTTTTTACTAAAGCTGTTTGATGCTGCTTTATAGCACGTGGGACCCTCAGGTGCATATTGTGTTTCCAGTTTCCAGACTTGCAGAGTTATCCAGGAAGCAAAAGTTGTCATTATTTGAAAAGTATTCATGGTGAACTGGCTACTTCTAAAACGAGTTCTTACCCCCAACGTCTTCCCAGTGAATGTTTGCATAAATGCCAATAATCTTTGTCAGCCAGTGTCTCTCCGACATTTTTGTATCTATGTTAGGGGTCAGCCAGCTTCGGAGTACAGGCCACATCCAGCCTGCAGCCTACTTTTGTATGATCTGTGAGATGAATCATTTTTTATATGTTTAATGGGTTGTGGGGGTGGGGGAAGAATATGCAGCAGAGACTGTGTATGACCCACAAAAAAATATTTACTGTCTAGCCCTTGATGGAAAGTTTGCCAGCCTCTAGTCTAGGGCAGCATACCACAAATAGACTGTAAATGGATTGCAAGGTAAAACTGAATCTGGCATAAGAGGCAGGGTTTCACGACGTGTGTGAAAGCAGTCATGGAAAACTGCTGTGGTCGGCTCTTGTCAACAAAGTGCAGACTTTTGAGCCATTGCAAACTGGCACTCATGTGAAGTTAAACCAGAGAAAACCTGCAAGGATTATGATAGGCTTCAAAAGAAAACGATTTAGGGATCCCTGGGTGGCGCAGCGGTTTGGCGCCTGCCTTTGGCCCAGGGCGCGATCCTGGAGACCCGGGATCGAATCCCACATCGGGCTCCCGGTGCATGGAGCCTGCTTCTCCCTCTGCCTGTGTCTCTGCCTCTCTCTCTCTCTCTCTCTTTGACTATAATAAATAAATAAATAAATAAATAAATGAATGAATGAATAAATAAATAAGATTTAAATTCCTGCTGCTGTAACAAATGACCACCAAGTCAGTGGCTTTATTTCTTATTATTTTTAAAGATTGTATTTATTCATGAAAGACGCAGAGAGAGAGAGGGGCAGAGACACAGGCAGAGGGAGAAGCAGGCTCCATGCAGGGAGCCTGATGTGGGACTCGATCCTGGGACCCTGGGGTCACGCCCTGGGCTGAAGGCAGATGCTCAACCACTGACCCACCTAGGTGCCCCCAAGTCAGTGGCTTTAAAAACACCACAGATGCGTTATCTTGCAGCTCTAGAGGTTAGAAGTCCAAAGTGGGTTCTCACTGTGTGAGCAAGGCTCCATTCCTCGTGGAGGCTCTAAGGGAGAGTCTGTTTCTTTGTGTTTTCCAACTCGTAGAGATTGACCTCATTCCTTGGCTTCCGTTCCCTTTTATCTTCAAGCCAGCCATGGCCAGGTTAGTCTTTCTCACACGGTATCACTCTGAACCCGACTCTCCTACCCTCTGCACATTTAGAGGACCTGTGTGATTACACTGGGCACATCTGAATAATCCAGTACGACATCTTTATTTTTAAGGTCAGCAGACCAGCGACCTTAATTCCATCTGCAACTTTCCTTCCTTCTTGCTGTGTAATTCTTCATAGGTTCTGGGGAATGGGATGTGAACATCTTTGAGGGGGCCATCATTTTGCCTGCAACAGAACTCTTAAATTTGTTTCCACTCTCCCCCCGCCCCACTTTTCTTTTTAAATCTTCGTGATCAATCTTTTTTTTTTTTCCTTATGATCAATCTTTATAACTAAATGTGAAATAAGGATATTTCATGCTATGGTTCAATTTTTTTTCTTAATTGCTAGCAGTAAAATTAGTATTTTAGCCATCTGTTTCTAGGAACAAGAGCATAGCTATAATTATAACCTATATCTTACTAAATTAAGAAATCATCTTTCATATTTTTTTAGTTTTCATGAAAAGGTCCCAAAGAAACCTTTTAAAAAAAAATCTACTTCCCTTTCGCTAAATCAGTTATTCTTGGATAATAAAATAGTCCTTTATTACTTTTTCAGCAAACATGGTCCCACCAGCCAGCAATACTCTCTCTCTCTCATTTAGTGTTGGTCTTGATTTTTTAAAGTGGACTCAATACACGGTCACTGCATTTATACTTATTATTTCAGAGTTCTGAGCTCAGATCCGAAGATCATGCCAGCACAGAATTTCCTGTTGGTGTTGAAAGAAGTGTGCGGTGGCTCAGGGACATTTTATGATTAGCTTTGTGCTTAGCTTGCTATTGGGGGGTGTGGGCTCCTGGCACAGACTTAATCATGAGCAGGGCTCAGACTTCTTAGAAGTAAAAATCTTTTTTTAACCTAAATGAGGTTTAAACAGCTAAGTTGTATTGCAGGATGGCTCTGAACTCTTTGGGCGGACAGTTCGTGTCCGTTTAGCCAACCCAGTGAGAACTGAGGGAGGCTCATCCAGACCAGGTGAGTGGGGGCACCGCAGATGCCTCATCACATCCTCAACTTTGGCCTCTCTTGCTTTTTTATCCCTGTCTCACTTCTGCTGCAGGGGTGTTCACAGTTAGAGAGCTGTAGAGTGGGGAAGAGAATGCAGCACCTCTGTGGAAAGAGAGTTTGAGATTCTCCACAAAGCTAGAGCCACTGTCCCCATAAAGTCTTGCTCTGGGCCGTAGATGCAGACTGGGCCTATCCAGCCCCGACAGTGGCTGGGACTTCCCTTTTGGCTCGGCTTGGTCCTCCTCTGTTTTTGCCATCTGTGTCTGCCAAGAGCTGGACCTGAAAGCCTAACATTTCCCAGTGGCAGCGTCCCTTGTCCTCAGAGACAACTTCTGCCTGTGAGAGCCCCATGGGGCGTCCATGTGGCTGACAGCCGCAAAGAACTAAGTACAGTCGGGGCAGGTGGCCGGTAGCTTGAATTTCTTAGCATTTGTTCAATTCTCTGCCTTTCAGTGTGGTCAGATGATGACTGATGAAGATTTCTGGGAAGACCCTTTGAAAAGAATAAAGAGGAGGAAGGAATGGAGCCTCCCAAAGTGGAAACCCAGGGGGTGAGATCGAAGCCCTGGGCTTCCCCAGGAGCGGCTGGTACTTTCCCCGCAGGGCGCTTAGATGTGAGTGGCGATGGGTGAGGTGAATGGAGAAGCCTGCTTCTCTATCCGTGTGGGGCTTGAGATGAGAAGTATCCTCCAGCATGCTTGGGTCCCAACTTGAGATTGCTCAAACTAGGCGGGGGTCTGAGATGCGAAGGAACAGTGAGGACGCCCCCTCGCCGGCATCCTGCATCCTCCTGACCTTTCCTGCACTCTCACTGTGAAGACTTTGGTATCAGGCTCATACTCTTCCTCTTCCTGGCCTGATTCCGGGGAGCCCCAGCCCCTCAGATGGACCCAAGTGCCAGCATTTTCTCCTGCTTCTCCATACCCCACAGTGACGTTGCTTCTGGGGTTAGCCAAGCTGCTCGTCTGTCCACCTTTAGAGCAACAGTGTTTCTCTGAGTTCCTCCCTTAGCCCTTGGCTCGTCTCTGCACGCTGTCCTTGCAGTTTCGGCCACTTGGCCAGTGTCTGAGCTTATCACAGCCACTCAGCCTTGTGCTGACTTCCAGATCTCTAGGGCCAGCCTTGACCTCTCTCCTGAATTTCATGTGTTCCTGCCTGCATGTCTTCCAGGCACCATAAATCAACATAGCACGTCCCAAGTGAATTTCCTCTCTCCTTCCGCTCTGGTCATCCTGAGGACCCGATCTTAGTGAACTTTGCCATCTTCCGCAGTCACCCAACCCAGGGACTTTCATGACCTCTCCGGTCCTCATCACAACCCACACCTACTGCATTGCCATATCCTGCAGTGTTCTCCTTTACATCTGCCTGAATCTCTGCTCTCCTGATTGCTTCCGCCACAGTAGCTTGGCGTAGCCTCTGTCGTCTCTCCTACAAATAGCTGGTCTCCCTGCCCCGGACCTGCTTCCTCCTATCCCGAGTAGCCGGAGGGAGCTTTCTAAGGCACACAGTTGACCATGTGGCTCTCCTCAAGCAGCCTAGGGGTGCCTCATCTGTAGTGGGGGACAGAGGGGCTTTCCATGTTTGGACCCCACTCATCTCTCCACATTGTATCCCTAGTTTGCATTCTAGAATAAAGTTTGTAGGTATAAATCTCTGTGTTTTCACACATGCAGTCCCTTTGCCTAAATTCCCTTTCCAACTGACTTTCTCTCGCTAACTCCTACTCAGCTTTTATAGCTGAGCTCAGCTGCTGCCTTCTACAGGGAACTTTTCTGACTCCTCCAGTGAAGTGAGATAGGGTCCCTTCTGGGCTTCTGTGGCCTCTGGGCTCCTGTGGCAACCTCAGTCCTGGCATTTTATGGTATTATTTTGACATTATTTATTTAAAAATGTTTACATGTTGCTGACTCTAAGTGCTTTACAAATGTTGAATCCTAACAATAATCCTTTGAGCTAAGTACTAATAACTGTCTCCAACTCGAGGTGACAAAACTGAGCACCGGGCGATCAAGTAACCTGTCCAACATCATGCGGCTCAGAAGGGTGGAGCCAAGATTGGAACAAAGGCTGTGTGCCTGGCACTGGGGTCCATGTGCCTCTCGCATTGGTGGCCGACCTCCCTCCTCCCCTCCCCCACCTTTGCCGCTGGATCGCCAGCTCCTCAGGTACCTTACTTAACATCTCCAGCACTTGGCCTGAAGGCTCAGCGTGCACACATTGACCGATTAATCCACACCACAGGTAGGTCAGAGACGGTAGTTTTCTTTAGCAAACAAATGGGTTTGTCCTGAATGTGTATGTATCAGCTAGTCACCCTAGTCCGCGTGGAGCACAAAGCAAGGTCCAACCCCCTCACTGTCTTCTGGGCACTTCGCCTGAGTCAGAAGGCAGCCGTTTCTGCTTTCACTGCAGCCCGGCTATGAATCTGTAGAGGGTGGCATAGGTGGAGAAGGTTATGGGTCCCTGTGACATGAGTAAGGTGGGTGGGCTTGAACTGGGGTTGTTTGTTGGTTTTGTTTTGTTTTTTTAAAAATCTTATTTATTTATTTATTTGACAGAGCATATAAGCATGAGGAACAGCAAAGGGAGAGGGAGAAGCAGACTGCCTATTGAGCAGGGAGCCTGACACGGGGCTCTATCCCAGGATGTGGGATCATGACCTGAGCCGAAGGCAGACGCTTAACTGACTAAGCCACCAGATGTCTCTGAACTGGGGTCTGCAGGTGTGGAGAGCTGCACACTGCAGGCCAGGGTGTGGTTGTGTGACCGCAGGCCAGGGTGCAGCAAGCTGGTGCGTCTCAGGGCGAGTGTGATGAGGTCCTGAGCCTGTGGAATGGGGCTCAGGTAGCCGGTGCTGGGGATTCCTGTCACTGGGGGTCGGGCCGGGGACCAGGGCCCTGGCCTCTGCCTTCCGCCTGCCCTTCCACGGCCTGGGGCCTTCCCCGTCGGCACCTGCCACAGCCTGCTCGCTGCATTTGGGTCCTTGGTGTGTGTTCAGAGAACTCGGTCTCCTGGGCCGCCTGGCAGGCTCCGTTAGTAGAGCCTGCAACTCTCGATCTCGGCGTTGGGAGTTCAAGCCCCATGTTGGGTGTAGAGGTCACTTAAATAAAAATAAAACTTAAAAAAGAAAAATGCTCGCTCTCCTACCTGGGGAGTCAGAGTGCTCTCCAAACTAATGATTTCTGCGCCCAAGGAGAGCCCGCTGCCAAAAAGGCCTGGTCAAATCCTCAGGTGTACATGGACATCAAGATCGGGAACAAGCTGGCCAGCCGCATCCAGATGCTGCTGCGTTTAGACGTTGTTCCCGTGACAGCAGGTGAGCAGGACTCCGGCCCGAGGCTGGTGGCCGAGCCGGCTGGGGAGGAAGCTGCCTGGAATCTTGAGACTTCAACACCTTTTATCTGAGCCCTTCTGAGGCATCTGGGACCCCAGCCTCTTGTCACATGAGCCTGCGCAGGCATTCTTGAAGGCTTAGGACCATTAGAAAGATAGGCAGTTGCAAGTTATAAATTGTATTGTTTTTTGTAGTTTTGTTTTGATATTTTGCAGACACACAGATGCGTGGAATATTCTGTAGGGATGATAGTACGAGGATCTCTTACATATGCTTTATCCACTCACTATGTTACTTTTTTGCCCTCTATACACTTTTCCATTTAATTTACACACTCGGATATATTTCTTCCTCCCCCCCCCCCCCACCCCGGCTGTGCCAATTGAGAGGAAGTTGAAGACATCGTGCCTCTTGACCCCTAAATAGTTAAGTATATATTTGCTAAGAACAAGACTGCTTCCTTACGTGATCACAGCACGCCCGCTGAAGTCTGCACGGTATTTCCTGATCTTTGGGCCGAGTTCCGGTTTCAGCACTTCCCTAGCATCGCCCTTTCTGGGGACTGTCGTGGTCCTTCCCTGGCGAGGACTCCTGCACGGGCACGGTCAAGTCTGTAGCCTCCCTCTGTTTGGAACAGAGTCTCGGTGTCTTTCTTGATCTCGAGGATTTGAAGAGAACAGGCCTGCTCTGCAGAGGGTTTCTTAGTCTCTGCCTGGTGCTTCCCCATGTGAACGTTCTGGTAGGAACACCTCGTGTGAGGAAGCACATGACGACACTTCTAGCATTTGTGAGGTCAACTTAGGTCACTTGCTTGAGGAGAGGGCTGCCAGCTTTCTCCACTGGAAGGTGACTATTTTTAGAGCTCTAAATTAAAAGCTAACATTTATTTTCTCCTCACTACCTCCAGCTCATGCCTTGCCTTTGAGGTGACTACCATTCACAGGTATTGTGTGTTTCCTATTTTCTTGATTATTCATAATGATTGTTTTTTATCCATAATCCTCTTTTTTTTTCGGGGTGGGGGGGTTTACCAAAGTCATAATTGCACATAGTTTCAAGAAAATCCTTCTGTGACGTTTGTTACAACGTGATGTTCTGCTCCCCACCCCTCTCCCAACGTCAATTTTTCTGCCTGCCAAAGGCAACATTCATTTCTTTCAGGTGATGATTTGGCTTTTATTATATCTCTGAAAAACATGGATATGTTACCACCACTAGATTGTTTTTCACTTTTGGGCTGTTTTAGGTCAAATTTTTCTGGGAAGCAGACTCCTGGAGGGTCACCTGTGGAAAGTTTGTCAGGGGGTAATCTCGGGGACAGCTCTTGCAAGGGAGCAAGGGGAGCAGATTGTGCAGAGTGGAGTTGAGCCGCGGTGCAGTCACACAGGCCTCAGCTGGTCCCAGGGTGCCAGGCTTGGGGCCCCTGGCTTGTTCCGTACTGAGGCCTGGGGCCTGGGTGTGAGTTCTGGCTGAGGCCCAGGAGGGGTGAGCGGCTCCCTTCCACTGACGGCATCTCCTGGCATGGAACTTCTCCAGGGTCTGTGAGCGTCTCACGCTCCTGGGAGGTGAGAGAGTAAGAGTGTTGGTTTCAAAGGGGATGGAAGTGGCTTCCCCAGGCGTCCACTGCCATCCGCTTCACCCACCACTCCCATTCTCCTCGGCTGCTGCTGCACCTCGGTCTCCTCTTTCCTCGCCCAACCTCTGAAGTGTTGGAGGGACCCAGAGCTCAACCCTTGCTTTGCCTCTCTTCCCTCCCTCTTCCCTTCATGGTTCTGAACCTGTTAGCCCAGTGCCTGCCTCTTAGACCTGATGCTTTAAGTGGAAGTGAAAATCCTGGCTCACATATCTTTCCATCACATAGTTTTTCTTTTTCTTTTTTTTTTTTTTTTTTTTTTTAAGATTTTACTTATTTATTCATGAGACACACACACAGAGGCAGATACACAGGCAGAGGGAGAAGCAGGCTCCCCGTGGGGGGACCCCGGGATCACAACTCAAGCCAAAGCAGCCGCTCAGCCTCTGAGCCACCCAGGCGCCCCATCACATAGTGTTTTTAAAGAATAGTGTTATGTCATAATTGTAATATGAAAAAAAATGAAAGTGATTTACAATAAAATAGTATGTATTTTGGTATTTAAATGCTTGGCCACAGCCAAGTATGTGAAATACTTTAACTGGCCTTTCTGCCCCGAGCCACCATTAGCCCTAACTGCAGTGCCGACTGCTACAGGTGTGTTTTGTTGCCAGGATCACGGTAACATTTTCTGAAACAGTGAAAATCCCTCGGTAGAATTCTGAACAAAAGGAAAACTTCATGGTTCCTTCAGTTTATGTGGTAGGTCTATTTCTGGAAAAATTCAACGCAGAAAATAAGTTTTTGGATTTTTAAAAAGATTTATTTTAGAGAGGGAGGTGAAGGAGAGAGAATCTTAAGCAGACTCTCTGCTGAGTGCGGAGCCCAACAGGAGGCTCCATCCTGGGGCCCTGAGGTCATGACCCCAGCTGAAATCAAGACTTGGGTGCTTAACCGACGGAGTCACCCAGGGGCCCCCAAGAGTCTTTGGATTTATGTGTAAAATGGAGTTAGTTAGGTTCTTAGCTGAGATCATTATGAAGAGATTTTTCTGTGCTACATGACTTTCTCAGGGCATTGGAAAGTCAGAGAATGAAGAATAATTGTTTCTTAGGGCGTGGGGTTGGGGGGGGTGGGGGTGTCAGTCCTGAAGCGCGAACCCCTGATTTCCGCTCAGGCCTTGATCTCAGGGTAGAGAGTTCAAAGCCCCCTGTTGGGCTCTAGGCTGGGCGAGGGGCCTCCTTTAACAATGGGGGGGGTTCTTGTTACGGGGGCGCTGCGGGGCGTCTGGGTGCCTGCTCCCTTCGCACTAAAGCGGGCGCAGCCCCTCCCCGGCAGCCCCGGGACCCCCAGCAGTTCCGACGGCGAGACCGCACCTTGAGGTCTCCAGCCGCCTCCAGGGGGCAGCGGCGGCCCGTCCAGCGCCCGCGCCTCCCGGCCTCCCGCGTCCGCGTCCGCAGGCCAATCCGCCTCGGTGCTGGGCTCCCCCCGGGGCTTCCCTCGGGGCCCTGCTCCCCCCGCACCCCCGCTCAGCGCCCCGTCCTGTCCCCGGACTCCGGTCCGTCTCTGGCAGCGGGGCTCCCACCTCGCCGTCGTCGTCGAATCCGCGGGGAAGGCCGAGAGCCCCCCCACCCCGCTCGGGAGCCACGGCTCCCCCCCCCCCGCCCCCGCCCCCGCCCCGGTCGTGAGGTCGCCTTTCCTGGGAGGTTCCTCCAGCATCTGCGGGGCGCCGGCCACCAAGTGCCTCCTGCTCTGTCGGCCTCGCGGTTAGTAGCCGCTTCGGGGGCGGCACCCAGGCTTCCCTGATCTCTGCGGGATTCTAGAAGGTGTGACTGAGTATTGGGGTAGTTGAGGCTGACGTTCACCGTTCACCGGGCTGGTTTGCACTGCGGCAGGCGCCCCCACCCCACCGCCCCGAGCACCCGACCCCCAGCGCCCCCAGCGCCCCCATCACCAACATTCCCATCACCCCCAGCGCCCCCATCACCCCGACCACTCCCACCGCTCCCATCACCGCCAGCACCGAGGGTGCAGCGGGCCGTGGCCCCGTGGAGGGCAGCACGCAGGCCCCAGGCTTTGGCATTTACACCGCCAGCACACAGCCTGTGCTACCTCTCAGCCCTGCCAGACCTGGGCTTTTTAAGCTCAGGTGTTACCTCCTCCAGAATCTTACGTGGTCCTGTCACCTCTGGGTGTGTGTGTGTGTGAGAGAGAGAGAGACAGAGACATGCCCACACGTGACTGTGGGATGTGCTTCCGCTGACTGAGCAAATGTCTGTGCCGCTAGGCTGTGCTCTTCTGTAGTAGGATTTTTTTTAACGGCTTTATTTTTATTTTATTTTTTAAAGATTTTATTTATTTATTCATGAGAGAGACACACAGAGGCAGAGACACAGGCAGAGGGAGAAGCAGGCTCCACGCAGGGAGCCCGACGCAGGGACTTGATCCCGGGCCCTCAGGATCCTGCCCTGGGCTGAAAGAGGCGCTGAACCGCTGAGCCACACCCCCTCCCTGGGCTGTCCACACTAACAGTACTTAATTCTCTTTCACTGCCGGTGAATATTCACAATTTATCCATTCACAAGTTGGTGGACATTTGTGGCATCTATGCTTTTTGGGTATTAGACTAATGTGGCTATAACATTCATGTAGAAGTGTTTGTGTGGACCTATGTTTTCACTTCTCCTGGGTGCACACCTACACTTGGTATGGCTGGGGCCTGTGATAACCATGTTTCAGTATTCTGAGGAACCGTCAGACTTTTCCAGAGGCTGTGCCATTTTGTATTCCCATCAGCAGCCTGTGAGCGTTCTGGTTTCTCTGTATTTCCCATCACTGGTCACTATCTATCTTCCTTCCTTCCTTCCTTCCTTCCTTCCTTCCTTCCCTCCTTCCCTCCTTCCCTCCTTCCCTCCTTCCCTCCTTCCCTCCTTCCCTCCTTCCCTCCTTCCCTCCTTCCCTCCTTCCCTCCTTCCTTCTTCTTCATATATATATATTTCTAATTTATAGAGAAAGAGAGGCAGAGGGAGGAGCAGGCTCCACACAGGGAGCCCAACTCGATCCTGGGTCTCCAGGATCACACCCTGGGCTGCAGGCGGCGCCAAACCGCTCTGTCACTGGGGCTGCCCTCGCGATCTCTTTAACATCCTCTATTTTCCTAGTGGAGGGAAGTGTGATCTCATTGTGGTTTTTGTTTTTGTTTTGATTTTTGAGAGAGAGAGGGAGAGCGAGCAAGCAAGCAGGGAGGGGCAAACGGAGAGGGGGAGAGAGAACCCTAAGCCCACTCCACACCCAGCATGGAGCCTGATGTGGGGCTCGACCCCACAACCCTGAGATCATGCCTTGAACCCAAATCAAGAGTGAGGCACCCAACTGATGGAGCCACCCAGGTGCCCCACCCGTTGTGGTTTTGATTTGCAATTCCCTGATGGCTAATGATATTGAGTATCTTTTCATGTGTTTATTGACCATTTGTGTATCTTCTTTGGGAAAATGTCCATTCAGATCCTTTACCCATTTTTTACTTTTCTTTTTTTTAATTTTTATTTATGATAGTCACACACACAGAGAGAGAGAGAGAGAGAGAGAGAGGCAGAGACACAAGCAGAGGGAGAAGCAGGCTCCATGCAGGCAGCTGATGTGGGACTCGATCCCGGGACTCCAGAGTCATGCCCTGGGCCAAAGGCAGGCACCAAACTGCTGAGCCACCCAGGGATCCCCCCTTTGCCCATTTTTTAATGGAGTTGTCTTTTTATTATTGAATTGCAAGAGTTCTTTCAATATTCTAGGTATAGATCTCTTATCAGATACATGATTTGTGAGTGTTTCTGGCCATTCTGTGGGTTGTCTTTTCACTTTCTTTATGGTTTGCTTTGAAGCAGAAAGGTTTTGATTCTGTTGAAGTCCAATATATTTTTTCTTCCATCAGTGTGTTTTTGATGTCATAACTAAGAAGGCTCTGCCTAAACTGAGGTCATGAAGATTTATTCTTGTATTTTAAGTTTTATGGCTTCACTCTTAAATAGGGCTCTGACCCATTTTGAGTTAATTTTTGTGTATAGTATGAGAAAAGAGGTTTAATTTCCTTCCTTTGTGGATGTCCAATTGTCCCAGGCATTTGTTGAAAAGGCTGTTCTTTTCCTTGTCTTGGCATCTCTGTTGAAAATCAATTGACCATAGATGTAAGGGCTTATTTCTGGCCTTTCTGCTCTGCCTCATTGATCTGTAAATCTGTCCTATGCCAGCTCCATGGTACATTTTGAATCTGACAAGTGTGGATCTTCCAGTTTTGTTCTTTTTTTTTTTTCCAGATTGTTTTGGCTGCTCTAGGTCTCTAGCATTTCCATATGAATTTTGGGAATACGTTTTCAACTTCTGCAAAAAAAAAAGCCAGCTGGGATTTTGATGGAGATTGCGCTGAATCTGTAGATGAGTTTGGGAAGTGTCGTGATCTTAACAGAATTAAGTTTTCCAACCCATGAACATGGCTTTCTTTCCATTTGTTTAGGTCTTTAATTTCTTTCAGTAATATTTTATATTTATCAAAGTATAAGCTTCTACTTTTTAAATTTATTCTTACGTATTTTATTCTTTCGATGTTATTGTCAATGAAATTGTTTTGATTCTTTTTTTTTAAGATTTTATTTATTTCTTTGACAGAGACTGAGGAAACAAGCATGAGGAGAGGGAACAAGAGGAGAAGCTGATGCTCGCTGAGCCAGGGAGCCAGATGCAGGGCTTGATCCCAGGACTCTGAGATCATGACCCAAGCTGAAGGCGGATGCCCAGCTGACTGAGCCTCCCCTCTTGATTTCATTTTCAGATTGTTCATTGCTCCAGTATAGAGAGAAGTTGATTTTTGTGTATTGATCTTATATTCTGCAACTTTGCTGAGTTTATTAGTCCTATAGTTTTCCAATAGATTCCTTAGGATTTTTTTTATAACAAGATCATGTCATTAGTGAACTTCACTTTTTTTTTTTTTTTTCAATTTGCCCTGACTAGAACCTCTAGTACAATGTCAAATAGAAACAGTGAGGGCAGATGTCTTGGTCTTATTCCTGAGCTTCGGGCAAAAATCCCTAGTCTTCACCTTGTGGGGACTTTTGTAGGGGCTCTTTATCAGACTGAGGAGGTTCTCTTCCTAGTTAGTTGAGTATCACGAAAAGCTGTTGGGTTTTGTAAGATGCCTTTTCCATTCTATCGAGATGATTTTGTGTTTTTTTTGTACTTGATCCTGTTAATGTGCTGCGTCATATTGCTTTTTGGATGTTAAACCAGCCTTGTGTCCCTGAGATGAATCCACATTTATCTTTTGAGTGACTAGAGTGTGACTACACCAAGGCTGGGGCCAGTGTCCCCAGGGCTTACCAGGAGGAGCCTGGCTATGAAGTAGACAGTATTGAATGAATGAATGAAAGGCTAAACCAATCTAAAGTAGTTTAAACGACTCTGCTCACCACTTCATTGACTTCACCTGAGCAGAAAATGAGGCGTCCACACGGTATCCTCCTGGGCCTGAGCTGCCTGAAGGGCTGTCCACGCATGTGGGCACAGACGTCCCTCTGAGGGCCGGGCCCCAGGGTATGGGCTGAGCCGCCCCTTCTCGCCCCCAGGCCTGCTCTCTAGGGCCAACTCCGGCCCCAACACCAACAGCTCCCAGTTCTTCCTGACGTGCGGCAGATCGAGGTGGGGGGCTGCCCAGCTCCAGGTACATGGCTCCATGGGGGAGCTGGGGGGGCGCTGCTCCACTCAGGAGAGAGTGGGGGGCACGTGGGGAGGGGCCCCAAGCCACCCGTCACCCTCCACCCTCCCCGGTTTCTGCCCCCGTCTGTCCCCCCAAGGCAGCAAGGACGAGAAGCCGCAGCAGAAGGTGATCATCGCCGACTGCGGGGAGTACGTGTGAGTCTGCACGCCCCGTGTCTGCACCGCCCTGCGTCCCGGAGCGGTCACCCCGTCTCGGGGCATTGGTCCCCTCTGGGCAAGCAGGGCTTTGTGTCCCGGCTCCTGGGATCCACTTGGAGCGGCTCTTGTGCCGAGGCGGCCCGGGCTTCCTCTGGCTCTCCCCGGGGCGGCCGTGGGCCGGGAGGGCAGAGGCGCCGCTTCTTCCAGGCCTCTGCTGCCGCAGCTGCTCCTAGGCCCACCCATGTGGCTCCCAGGCGTCGCTTCTGCTAAAATAAATGCTAGTTCTTGTCCTGCTGCCTGTCAGCCAGGTCCAGGTGTTTACAAAGGTTGCGGCTGTGCCTGGACCTCCTCCTGCGACAGAGCAGAGCACCGCGCTGCCGTGTGCCTTCCCCCGCCCGGGCCGAGGCCCTGAGCGCACACCCTTGTCAGGTGGCCGCAGAGCCGCGGAGGCCGAGCTGGTGCAGGTGCCTCCATCCTGCTGTCCCTGCCTCCATCCTGCCCTCACACCTGGTCCAGAGTCGGGACGGGCACCCAGTTGCCTGTTACTCAGTCGCTGCACCAGTGGTTGGTAGAGTCCTGCCGGGCCCTGCACTTGGTGCTGGGGAGACTGAGGCACAGATGGTTCCTGGCCCCTCCCCGCCCTCCCCTAGACCCAGAGCAAGTCCAAGTCTGTGCCAGTTCGAGGCTTTGCTGCCGCTCACCCTTTGGCATGTCCCGTGTGCGGAGGCTGAGCCCCAGAAGCCATCAGTCACCAGAAACGACTCCTGGGTGGCCACTGGCTCACCTACTGCTTGCCAGTGGCTCTGATCAGGGTCTACACTCCAGCCATTGGGTGCGGCGGCTTCTTGTTTTGGGTTGAGGTCGGGTTGAGCCAGGAGGGGAGGGGAGCAGGCCTGTGACCCCGGCAGGTCCCGAGCATCCTTGGCGAACCTTGGTCTCTGGCTTCGGGGGCCTCGTCACGGTGTGGGGACTGGCAGCGGTGAGGCCATGGCTGGCGTGGCAGCTGGAGGAGAAGAGGTGTGTGGGGTACTTGACAGGCTGGCTCTAGGGATGACGTGGGGAGGGGCATGGGCTGGCCTGAGCCCCAGGAAGGAGAACAGGACGTCCATGGAGGAAACAGTTTGTCGCTGTGGTTCCGTGGCTGCCCCGGGCGGGTGGGCTGGGCACACTGGCTGGGAAGCCGGGGACCAGGAGCCCTGGGGTTGCGGGTGTGAAGTGTAAGAGCCTCCCCAGAATCTGTCACGGGGTCGCCCCAACCCTCCCAGGGTGGTGACCAAGCTTCGGGGGAGTGGACAGGTCCCGATATCCGGGCTGACGACCGAGCACCTGCTGCCTGCCTCCGCTGGGCTGGGGCTCCCGAGGGGGCTCCATGGGGACCCCATGCCTGGCTATAGGGAAGGAACGGGGACAGAACCAGGGTGCGGCTCACGGATGGAATGGCACAAGTCGTGCTTTCAAAGATTTAATAACACATTTTCAAAATATATCAGGTTGAGTAAATCAGATCACCAAGCAGCGCGCAGAGCACGATCCTACCTGTAAACTACCCGTAGTGTCTACCCTGGAGACAGACGTGTGCGCGAGGAGACCAGAAGGAGGTACGGGGGATGCTGAGCTCTGTGCTGGGACTGTGTGTATTTGTATGATACTTTTTATTTTCAAAAATTTCCCTGGTGCCCACACCCCTGATATTCTCAGTGAGGAAAAGTTTTTTTTTTTTTTTTTTTTTTAGGGCCAAACGGACTTGCAGCTCTGGGTGAGAAGAGACCGTCCACAGAGCTCCAGCTCAGCATTCCGGAGGCCTGGGGACGGCGCGGGGACACAGCAGCCCCGGCAGGGGTGTGCCCCGTGCCACCTGAGGTCCCCGGGCCGGGAGCGCACCAGGCCCACCTCAGCCCGAGGCAGGACCAGTGTCGGTTCCAACACAGGGGCACCTGCTGGATGTGCTCTGGGAGGAGCAGCCTCGAGTGCAAGGCCGCCGGGGAGGCCCAGACGGGCACATTCCCGTAAAGCAACACCCGCTGACCCCGGCGGCCTTGCCAGGACAGAGCCAACGCCCTGAGGAAAGCCCTCGAACCTGCGGGGGACCTCCTATGTCACTGGAACCAGCCGCAGAGCTGGGAGTCCAGGCCGGGTCTGCTCCTCGACCCACAGCCCCTGGTCCTGTGGCATTTTGGGCGTTTCTTGAAGCACGTTACCCACTGTCCTCCACAGCGACTCACGGACTGAAGGCCCGGTGAGCCGGCGGGCGGGCGGACGGTGCCTGGTCAGCGCCCCCGACATGGCTGTTCGTCCAAGGCCAACGCCCCCCCCGCCCCCGCCTTGACCGCATCCTGGGTGGCAGGTGAGCCACAGGAATGAGTGGGCTGTCCCTGCACTGACTCCGCGGCCTTCTCGGTTGGGGTTCGGTCTGGTGGTCGCCTGCACGGCCGTGGGCTCCAGAAGTCAGCTACGGTGCGGCAGGGGATCCAGATGGCCATCCTCACGCACCCCAGGGCACACCGGGCAGGGCCCCCAGCCCCGGCATGCGGGCTACACGCTGGGCATCCAAGAGCCCAAGTGCAGGTCGGAGGTTCCCAGGCCTTCGCTGCCCTTGGTGTTGGGAGGCGACCGCTGGTCACTAAGGTCCCGAAGCGGCAGCTGGACACGGGAGCAGGGGAGACTAAAGCTTGACCCCGAGCAGGACTCGTCAGGCAGCACACGGGTCAGAGGCTGCGGGGGAACCAGACAGAACCCGGGTCTCCGGAGTCCAGGCGCACTGCGCTCGGGGCGCTGCCAGGCCGCGGTCCAGGCCCCCTGCACCCAGTCCGGCCCACCCTCTGCGATCCTCGAAACCGGCTGTCCCCCAACAGGGCCCGGCCTCCACACCGGGGTCCCCTCCTCGGCGGGGGCAAGGTGACTGCGGGGATGCGCCCCGGGGCACGGTGCTCCCACCTCTGCCGGGCCTGGGGGGCTGTCCAGCCTTGGCGGCGGCTCTGAGGAGAGCAGCAGTTTCAGGGAGCGCCCTGCCCGGACCCCTAATTACTGCCTGTCGCACCCTGGGACACAGGCCGCTCTTGCTCACAGGTCTGGGCTCCTGGGCACAGCGGGGCACGGCAGCAGCGGCCTGTTCTACCTCTGGGGGCTCCCCCGCGGCTCCCCCTGCCCAGCCTGCAGGGGCCCCGAGAAACGGGCTTCATCTTAACTCTGAGCGGCCGGTGGGTGTGTGGGGTCTTGTGCTGACGGTTCTGAGGGCCCATCGGGGGTCAGTGGGAGGCACACCGGGCCGGGTACTGATGGCGCCGGTTGGGGCCGCCACAGCCACTGCCTTGGCTCTAAGAGTGGTGTCTCTCAGGGTGGAGAAGCTGGCGGGAACTGGGCGCCCCAAGGTTGTTTGTGGGGTGGGGGGTGCTCACACCTCTTCCCCAAGGAGGGTAGGCAAGTAGGTGCTGCAGTGGCCTGGTGGGTGGCCAACGAATGCGCCACGTTAGGAGCCCAGTACTTGCTGTGCTGAGGGCAGGAGCCCTGCTCAGAGCCCAGCTGGTCACCCTCGGGCCGGGGCCACCTGCAGCGCAGGCTGGGGATGGCCAAGGACATGTCCTAAGACGGGACATCAAAGCGGCACCGCGCGGGCAGCACTGCTGCGTCCTTCAGGCCTGTGAGGCTGGGCCAGCAAGTCTACCAGAAACCCCAGGGCTGGGCAGGGCACCCCGGCAGGCATATGTGGCCCTCCCTGCCCTACCCCCCCCCCCCCCCCGAGCAATGGTGGCTTGTGAGTGTTCCCTGCCTGCAGGAGAGGGGGGCAGGGCCTCAGTGGCAGCCACACGCCCTGACCACCATGTTGCGGTGCTTGCGCAGGATGACGTTGTTGCTGCTGTCGTAGTAGAGCACGGAGGTGGCGCTCAGCTTGGTGGGGGCGCAGCACGCCTTGGGGACCGCATCCGGCTTCATCAGGTGCACCTGGCCAGACGGGGCGGCGGGCAGCGGCATGAACACGGGGCTTCCCCGAGCCCCCACCCCCTGCGCCCTCCCCACCTGCAGCAGAGGCAGGTGCAGACATGGAGACGTGCCCCACCCTGTCCCCGCCCCACTGCCCTCAGGGCACCCCCTGGGCCCCAGCCGGCTCCCCTCAGACAGGACAGCCCAGCACACGGTGCCCCTCCGGGTGCCCTCCGCGCCCCTCTGTGCCTCTGTGATGTGCCCCCCCCCTTAGCCGTTCGTGGTCTGTCTCCCTCCCACGTGCGAGCCGGTGATGGGCACAGGCCTGGAGATGGCCCAGCAGCCTAGGCCCGCCCCTGGGGTGTGCAACGCGCTTCTCCCGCAAAGCGCTTCCCACACTGGAGCCCACCTCTAAGGCCACGACTGTTCTGGACAGACCAGGACTGAGGCCCGGGGCCTGGGGGCGGCACGAGGCTCCCCGCGTGGCAGTGCGACCTGGGCCCAGTGCACTGACCTCTTACCCCCTCCCCCCAGCCCCGCTGCCAGGAACGAGCCCAGGGGAGCGGCCTTTCAGCCTCCGAAAAATACGCCCCTGCGCCGAGAGGACGGGCTGCAGCGCCAGCGGCCGGGCAGGGGCCACATGCAGGGAGCCTGGGTGGGGGGCTGCAGGGGCGAGGCGGCCTCCCCGCAGCCCTGGCAGGGGCGCCGCGCGGGACCCGGACGAAGCCGTCTGGTGGGGGGCCCGCCGGCACCTGCCCCCCCCCCCCCCGGGCCCGGTCTTGGCCCCGTAGGCCCAGCGCGGAGCCGCCTGCGGAAGGACGCCGGTTGCTCGGGGCCCAGCAGCCTCGCGGAGGCCCAGCCTGGCGGGGACGCGGCTGCCACTGCCCCCAACGTCCCCACCTCCACGCGCCGTGGCTGGGCTTGGTGTCCGTGGGCCCACGGGACAGAAACCGGGGGACACGGCCGCCCTGCAGCAGCCGCGGGGCTCTGTGGGCTGGAAACCCGCAAGGGCCGCTCCTGAGCTGGGGCTGGGGGGGACGTCGGGCGCCACCGGGCGCGGCCTGAGACTCCCCGCAGACGACGGACAGAAAGACAGGCCTTTGTCCCATCTGGGCCCAGACCAGGGACTGTGGAGGCCGCGGTGCCAGCCCACTTAGCTTGGTGTGGGCCCTGGGCGAGCAGGTCACAGGGTCTGTCACTGGCTGGGCCGCTCTGGGTACAGTCACGACCCTGCCAAGGGGATACAACGACTCTCTGCTCGTTCCCCACACCAGCGTATCCAGGACACAGGCCTCACGCCAGCCCCACCGGGATCGGGGCACAGAGATGTCCCAACCTGGTCCCCACTCTCACGGACTCCATGGGGAGGGAAGGGGACACAGGGAATATTCCAGTCGGCACCCAGGACCTCGGGGTCAGCACAGCCCTCCAGCCCAACGGGCTCACCTGCAGACCCCAGGTGCCCCACTCCCTGCCCCTCCCGAGGGCCGCCCCGCCTCTGCCCTGTACCACACCCTGGCGGTGGCCACCACAGCCCCCCGCTGGCACCCTGCCTGCCCCGCCCCACCCCTGTCCTTCTGCGCTGCAGCCGGAGCAGCACTTCCAGAGAGCAAGGCAGGCGGTGGCACTTTGCACCTGCTTGCCCCTGGACAAGGGATTAAGTCCACCCACCTGGCCCTTCAGGCAGGACCCAAGGCCTCGTGAGCGGCCCCTGACCCCCGATGTCACCTGCCACCCGAGCCCACCCAGCCAGCCGGACTTGGGAGCTGCAGGGGCCCCTCGGCCTGCAGGCCCTTGAGCCCCGGGAGGAGCAGGAAGCAGGTGCGTAAAGGGCAGCTGGGGCTCACGTGCCTCATCCCACTGAGCTCCGGGCAGAAGGCGGCTCCTGGGGGGCGGGCGGGGGGGGGAGGCAGACCCAGCCTGATGTGGGAAAGGCGGTTACCACGGAGCCAAAGCCCCCGCGGTGCTGCATCTCCTCGCCCCTGGAGCTCCCAGACAGGCTTGGCGACACAGGAGCTAGGAGTCCAGGTCCACCTTCTAGGAGGTGTCCACCCCGAGTCAGTAACACGTAAGCCTTGGGGTGCCGCGTTGGTAGCAGACGCCACCCCCGAGGGTGAGGGACGCACAGACTGACCCAGAGACGACTCCAGGGCCCAAGGCAGAGAGAAGGGCCCAGAAGGGGGCGGAGGGGGCGGACCCTCACCAGGAGCCCCGGGAAGGCACAGCCCCTGGCGGCCAGTGTTGAAACCCAGAGGGGCTGGATTTCGGGGTTCTTAGGACCTGAGCACTTCCAGCGGCCCGTGGGCCAGCAGCAGCCTGGCTGGGTGGGGGGGGGGGTGGCGGGAGAAGCCACCCCGCCTGGGGCCCCACCTGAGTCGGGAGCTGCTCACCCTCCCAGAGCACAGCCCAGAGACCCCGGGGCACCCAGGGGCCGCGGAGCCTTCCCCTCCTCCCCTCCCCCTGCCCCCCAGCACCTCGTGGGAACCAGCGCCCCCGAGGCCCCACCCACCTCTCCACCCCTCCCTGCAGTCCTGCCCCCCTCCAGGGGCCCCTCCCACAGGCCTTGCTGCCAGCAGCTCCCAGAGCAGCTCCCCACGACCCAAGCTGCTCTGGCCACACCCGGCTCGGGCCCTGCAGCAGCGGCTGCCCTCGAGCAGGGGACCAGCGCACACACCTGCAAACACTGCGTGCCCCCCCCCCCACTACAGGGTGGGCTGAGCCCCTTCGAGGTGGCACGCTAGCCCAGCAGCAGCAAGCAGCCCCACCAGGGCCAGTGGCTCCTTGGGACTCCTGCCCTGGGGAGAGGGAAGGACGACTATACACACACAGAGGAGACGCCCCTGAAGACCGGTTCCGGTGAACGGGGGCACCGCTGCAGGGCACTACAGGACCTCGGCTTCAGGAGGCCGCTGCCTTTAAGAGCCGGAGGCGTTGCTGACCTTCCTCACACACAGAGACAGACGTGGAGAGTTAGAATCAGGAGACAGTACATTCCAGATGAAAGAACAAGACACAATCACAGCAAGACACCTAAGAGAAACGTCAGCAATATACCTGCTAGAGATTTTATTTATTTATTTTTTCCTGCTAGAGATTTTAAAGGAATGACCACAATGATACCGTACGTGAAAAGAGAGGAGGACGTCAGTGAGACCCTTAAAGAGATAAAAAAACAACCAGTCAGAGATGAGGAACACCATAAATGCGATTTAAAACACACTGGAGGGGTGCCTGGGTAGCTCAAGGGCTTAAGTGTCTGATTCTTGGTTTTGGCTCAGGTGAGTCATGGGATCGAGTCCTGCATCAGACTCCTGCTTGGTGTGCAGTCTGCTGGAGATTCTCTCCCCCTGTCCCCCTCATGCTCTTCATCTCTCTGTCAAATAAATAAATCTTAACACACACACACACACACACACACACACACACACACGATAGAATAAAGAGTAGGCTAGAGGAATCAGAGAACAAATCAGTGACCTGGAAGACAGAGTAATGGAAAGTAATCAGGGGGGCACCTGGGTGGCTCAGTGATTGAGCATCTGCCTTTGGCTCAGGTCATTATCCCGGGGTCCAGGATCAAATCCCACATCAGGCTCCCTGTAGGGAGCCTGCTTCTCCCTCTGCTTATGTCTCTGCTATTCTCTCTGTGTCTCTCATAAAAAATAAATAAATAAATAAATAAAAGGAAAGTAATCAAGGTCACCAGATGAGAGAGGGGAAAATTACGCAGAATGAGAATAGATTTAAGGAACTCAGCAACACCATCAAGCATTTAACATCCTCATCACAGGGATCCCAGAATGAGAAAAGAGAGAAAAGGGGCAGAATATTTATTTGAGGAAATAACAGCTGAAGAAATATGAGGAAGGAAACAGAAATCCAGATTCAAGAGGTAGATCCTGGAACCAGATTAACCCAAGGAGATCTGCTCCAAGACACACAGTAATCAAAATGGCAAAAAGGAGTGCTACAGAGAATGTTTAAAGCACCAAGAGGGGATTTAAAAAAAAAAAAAAAAAACACCCAACAGCGCATACAGGGGAACCCTAGAAGGCAATCAGCTGAGTTTTCAGCAGAAACACTGCAGGCCAGAAGGGAGTGGCATGATATATTCAAAGTGCTGAAAGGAAAAAAGCTGTAGCCAGGACAACTCTGTCCAACAAGGCTATCACTCAGAACAGAAGGACAGATAAAGTGCTTCCCAGAAAACAAAAGTTAAAGGAATTCATGACCACTAATCAGCCCCACAGGAAGTGTTAAAGGAGATTTTTCTAGTGGAAAGAAAAGATCATAAGTAAGATTAAGAAAAGTAGGAAGTAGGAAGCAGCAGTAAAAATAAGTATGTTTATAAAAATCAGCCAAAGGACTCACAAAATAAAAGGATGTAAAGCACGACACCATATACCTAAATGATGAGGTGGGGGAGAGGAGTAAAGAATGGGTTCATCTTAAACAACCATCAACTTAATACAGACTGCTCTAAGCAGAAAATGTTATGTACAAACCCAACGGTAACCACAAATCAAAAGCCAGGAATAGGTGTGCAAAAATGAAAGGGCAAGGTAACCACATATATTACTAAAAAAAGTCTGCACTAGACATGAGAGTAGGGAGCAAGGGAGGAAAGGAACAGAAGACATACAAAAACAACCACAATGGAATGGCAAATAAAACAAAATGGCAACATGTACATCCCTATCAATAATTACTTTGAATGTAAACGGACTAAATGCCCCAATCAAAAACACTGGGTAATAGAACGGATACAAAACAAAAAAAGACCCATCTATACGCTGCCTACGTAAAACACCCATTTCAGATGGTGAGACACCTGCAGACTGAAAGTGAAAGGGTGGAGAAGCATTTATCGTGCAGACAGACACGATAATGAAGCCAGGACATGGGACAAAACAGACTTTAAAGACTGTAAGAGACAGAGAATGACACTATATAATCATAAAGGGAACAATCCAACAAGAAGCTATAACAATTGTAAATACTTATACACCCAATATGGGAGCACTCATATACATAAAACAGTAATAACAAACACGTAGTAAACTGACAGTAATACAGTAATAACAGGGGACTTTAACACCCTAGTTACATCAACAGATAGATCATCCAAACAAAATCAACAAGAAAACAGTGTCTTTGAATGACACATTTGACCAGATGATTTTAACATATATTCAGAACATTCCACCTTAAGAATATACACTTTATGGGATCCCTGGGTGGCTCAGTGGTTTGGCGCCTGACTTCGGCCCAGAGCATGATCCTGGTGTCCCAGGATCGAGGCCCACATCGGGCTGCCTGCATGGAGCCTGCTTCTCCCTCTGCCTATGTCTCTGCCTATCTCTCTGTATCTCTCATGAATAATGAATAAAATCGTTAAAATATATATATATATGTATATATATGTATATATATATATACACTTTACAAGTGCATATGGAACACCTTCCAGAACAGATCACATATGAGTCCACAAAACTAGTCTCAATAAATTACAAAAGATTAAAGTCATACCATGCATCTTTTCTAACCATAATATTACAGAACTAGAAACCCAACACAAGAAAGAGTCTGGAAAGAGCACGAATACATGCAGGTTAAATAACATACTGTCAAAAAATGAATAGGTCAACCGAGAAATCAAAGAGTAAAATTTAAAAATATATGGAAAAAAAACTAATGAAAACGAAAGCACAATTGTCCCAAATCCTTGGGATGCAGCAAAAGCTGTCCAGAGAAGGAATTTTATAGCCACACAGGACTATCTCAAAAAGCAAAAAAATCTGAAATAACCTTATGTCACAGCTAAAGGAGCTAGAAAAAGAACAAAATCAGCAGGAGGACAAAAATACTAAAGATGAGAACAGAAATAAATGAAACAGAAACAAAAAATAAAAAAAGAGACCAAGGCACCTGGATGGCTCAGTTGGTGGAACATGGGACTCTTGATCCTGGGGTCATGAGTTTGAACTCCATTTTGGGTGCAGAGATTACTTAAAAAACAAATCGCATCGATGAAATCAGGAAACCAGGAACTAGTTCTTTGAAAAGATCAATAAAATTGATGAACATTTAGTCAGGCTCAAAAAAAAAAAAAAAAGAGCAAGAGAGGGAGGACTCAAAATCAGAAGTGAAGAGGAGAAATAGCACTGCGGAAATATAAAAGATTATAATAGAAGAGTATTATGAAAATTATACAGCAGCAAACTGAGCAATAAGAAATGAATACATTCCTAGAAACATAATCTACCAAAACTACAAGAGGGAAGAAAGAAAATTTGAACAGATCAATTACCAGCAAAGGAATGGAATCAGTATCAAAAGCTCCCAAGAAACAAAGTCCAGGACCGGGTGGCTTCACAGGCGAATTCTACCAAACATTAAAAAAAGGAGTTACACCTATTCTCAAACTGTTCCTAAGACAAGAGTGGAAGGAAAACTTCCCAATTCATTCTACAAGGCCAGCATTGCACCGATACCATAACTAAAGACACTACAAGTAAAGAGAACTGAGGCCAACATTGCTGATGAATACACATGCAAAGTCCTCAACGAAATACTAGCAAACTGAATCCAACAATACATTAAAAAATTATTCACGATGATCAAGTGGGATTTATTCCTGGGATGCAATGGTTGTTCAATATTTACAAATAAGTCAATCTGATACATGAATAAGAGAAAGAACTAAAACCATATGACCGTTTCAAAAGTTGCAGAAAACACATTTGACAAAGTACAACATCCATTCATGAAAAAAAAAAAAAAACTCAGGAAAGTAGGTTTAGAGGGAACATACCTCAAAAATAAAAGCCGTATATGAAAAACCCAGAGTGAACATCATACTCAATGCTGAAAACCAGAGATTTTCGTAAGGTCAGGAACAAGGGAAGGATGCCCCTGCGCCACTTTTATTCGACGTAACACCGGAAGTCATAACCACAGCAATCAGACAAGAAAAAGGGAAACAAAGGCAACCAGATCAAGAAAGAAGAAAAATTTTCACTGTTTGCAGATAACCTGATACTATATGTAGAAAACGTTAGAGACGCCACCAAAAAACCTGCTAGAATTGATAAATGAATCCAGTAATGTCACAGGCTACAAAACCAGTATACAGAAATGTGGGATTTGTATACACTAAATAGAAGCAGCAGAAAGAGAAAATAAGAAAACAAAGAGTTTCTTTTACAGTTTACACCCATTTACAGTTGCACCAAAAATAATAAAACACCAAAGACTAAGCTTAACCAAGGAGGTGAAAGACCAATACTCCGAAAACTATAAAACAATCATGAAAGAAGGTGGAGGTGACACAAACGGGCAGATCCCCAGGCTCAGTGGCTGAGCGAGGCAGTACTGGTAGAGCCCCCGCGCCTCCCAGGGTACACACGGCCTTAACGCGATCCCTATCATCACACCCGGAGCACTTGTGACAGAACTAGAACAATCCCAGAATTTATATGGAACCACAAAACCCCCCTAGGAGCCAAAGCGTCGTGAAAGAGAAAAACGAAACTGGAAGTCTGACAATCCCAGATTTCGAGCTACACTGCAAAGCGGTAGGAAAACCCTCAGCGACAGCGGCAGCGACAACGCCCCTCCCAGGGGCGATCTTCCAGCACTGAGGCTGCCCCCCCCCCCAGCACGGGAGCCACAGCACCTGTGGGGAACACCAAGCGCCAAAGGAGCAGGACAAAGAGCCGACGGGGAGGTAACAGAGGGGGCCGAGGCCCAGCAGCTCAGCGGGGCACCCGTCACCCGGCCCCGTACACATGCGGCGGGAGGCCCAATGCACACGCCCGTCGCTCACCCCGCGTACGTCTCTGCCACAGGAGGCTAAGCACGCCGGCGACACGGTGGTGTGTGTGCTCAGAGCACACAGGGACCCAGGCGGGACGCACGTCTGCTGTGTGCCGTGCGTCTGACCACAGCGAGCAGGTCGTGTAAGTCGCGTGTGTAGCGCACAGAGGTGGGGGCGCGCCAGCAGTCAGGGTAAGTCGGGTGTGTGCGGGTGCAGGTGCACACACAGCTGGGCCACCCGGGCACCGGCTCCTGGACAGGCGTGAGCCCGGAACTGCTCGTGCACGCAGGGAAGCTCCTGTGCACAGAGCCTCCCCGACACCCGGGGCTGCCACCCACCCGGCGCTGCGAGCCCCCGCCCCGTGGGTCCGGGCAGGACGGACGCGGTACTGACCAGGGACTGCAGGATGGCGTGGTTGGTGGCGTTCATGCACGAGTCCAGCGGGAAGGAACACTCGCCCTCACAGTAATAGGCTGAGTAGCCCTGGGGGGCGATGACCCAATCCTGGGGGGTAATGGGAGAGGGTGAGTCCCGGCGGACGCCCCCTCCTGAGCCCCGAATCTAGCACCCAGCGTGGCATGACTCGGGCCGCCCCTTCCCCTCCCGCAGCCCCAGGCCAGGCTGCCGACCCTCGGCTCCCTCCAGGCAGGCTCCCCCAGGAGGCACCACCAGCAGGCCCGGCAGGGGGCGGGCACAGCTCTGTCCCCCGGAGCCCACGCCTCCTGCAGCTGCAGCCCCAGCCTCTGTTTCCCTGTTGCAGAGCTGACGTGTCATGGCTGAGGATTCAGACTGGCCCCGTTTCCCCGGTTTTACCCCAAAGCACCTCCTCACACTAAGACATTCTCCCTTCAGAAAACACATCAGAACCTAACGCACAAGAAAATTAAAGTCACCGTAATGGGACCTCCCCCCGGGGACACACTTAGGATCTTCGGGTGGGGACGGTCATTTAAGCAAAGGAGGCGAATCGGAACTTACCAGCCAGCCCAGGTCCTGGAAGCTGACGTAGAGCTCGTGCCGCCGGCACACCTGCCGGCCATCGGCGCCGTGAACGTCATCTGCAGGGACAGAAGCAGGGGCTTTCCTGGGGTTCCTGCTCCGGGCAGCCACCACAGGGAGCTCCCAGGGCGGGGACACCCTACCGGGCACATTTGTTGAATAAATGAATGAAGTGAAACTAATGCCCTGGTGTCCTGAAGCCCATCCTGCAGCAGTGCTGGTGCCATGACCCAGCTCGAGAGCCTTCGCCGGCTCCAGGTGGCTCCCGATCGCTGCAGGGCAACCCTGCAACTTGCTCAGAGCCTCCCCTGACCTCCAACTGCGGCCCCGCGATGCTCCCGTAAACAGCCAGGGGACCCTGGGCCACAGGTGGCTCCTCCTTTTCTGCAGAGACCCCTCCTGACCTCACCCCACCTCTCCTGCCACACCCATTCCACCCGATGGAGGGGCTCCTGGAGGCCAAAGGGTGACCCCCCGTGGAGGGAAGGGGGCAGGAGGGCAGGGGCAGGGCAGGCCCATCCCTGATCCTGAGCGGCTCAGCCTGGTGGGACACAAACAACTGTGGATCCTCGGGGGACCCAGGGGGGACCTGAGAGCCACCAGTGCCTGGAGGAAGGGGCACCTGAAGCTAAGGGAGACTTCTGGAAAAAGCCCTGGTGCCAGGGGAGGGCAGAGAAGGCGCCCCTGGGAGGCGGGGACGGAGGCCGGTGGCCGGTCCTCGGGGCCCACGAGGTAAGCAGGTGTCAGACAAGCGTTGGAGGGTGACCACAGGCTTGAAGCCGCTGAGGCCCCGAGGGTTCGGTCCCCGCCGCCGTCCTCGGCCCGGCCCAGGCCCGCCCCGGACCTCACCGAAGATCCCTGGGAGGCGGTTCGGGTGCGGCAGCTCGTTGCTTTTCTTCGGCGGCCTCCTCTTCAGGGGCCTCGCTGCCCGAGGGGCGCGGACGGGACCGGGGCTCGCCCTGAAAAAAGTGACCAGGAAAGGCTGCTTGGAGCGCGGCGCCCGTCGCCCCAGCAGACCGGCCAGGCCAGGATCCACGCTGTGCCCTGGGACGGAGAGAGGAGAAAGGCGGTCACTCGCGGGCGGGGGTGCACGGGGACGGCGGGGACCCTCCACCATGGCCTGCACGGTGTCCCCACCCGGAGGGACACGGTCCCAGGGGCACGGGGGGGAGGGGCCTCGCCACCACAGGGTCGCTGTTTGTGACACCGGTGAACCCTCTACACGTTCGAGCTCCTCCCACTGGTGACCTCAGGCCTCTCCACGGTCCCTGGACCACGTGCTTCCCAGGAAGCCTCAGAGCCAGGCTGCCAGGGGCGCACAGCACCCCGGGTCCCACCTCCGTCCGAGGGCCCCGAGGCTTTCGGGGGATCGATGGATCTGTGACCCAGGGGACTGGGGCGGTCGCCAGGTGGGAGCCACGGCTTGCTCTGCCTGGCACGGCCAAGAGCAGGGCGCTGAGTGTCCCCTGAGGCCCACAGGTGGGACACAGGGCAGCGGGGCAGAGACATCTGGCCAGAGGCCCAGGGCCGGGGTCCAGCCCACGTCGGTCTGACCCCAGTCCTTACTCACTTACAGGGTTAACCCCAGGTCTGTGGGTCACAAGAGAGGAAAGGCTGTGGGGGGGGGACACGGGGACCTCGGGCTAGGAAGAGGGACACCCGGGAAAATGGGATTTGATCCCGCAGCTGCTTAGAGACGAGGATGCCAGGAGAAACACTCACGACCCTGGGAACGTCCCCTCCACCAGTAAGACTCCCTGGGCCCCTTGTCTTTCCAAATGTCCTCCTGACTTTTTAAAGATCTTTTATTTATTTGCGGGGGGAGGGGCAGGCGGAGAGGGAGGGAGCCTCTCAAGCAGACTCCCCGCTGGCGCAGGGCCCCGCGGGGCGCGGGCCCAGGACCCTGAGATCACGAGCTGAGCCAAACCCAAGAGTTGGCCGCTCCACCGACTGGGCCACTCGCCTCCTGGGTTTTTAATTGTCAAAGTGACACAACAGCAATGCAAAGTGGCCTCGGAGGAAAATACCACTTGGAAATCTCTCCCCACTCCAACTCGGCATTTTCATTTTTCTGGAATGTTATCATGCCAATCAAAGCTTTACACAACAGTCACCGTAATAGTCTCTATTTTTTCCAACTTTTTCACCCAAACATGGTCACTGCAATTAAGATGTCTCCACTCCGAGCATTTCAAGCCTATAAAACTCCTTTGAGAAAATATACATAATATTTGGATATTAGCTCCACTCCAGGCACGTGGGGTACGTGCTGGCTTTCGCGATAAAGACGAGTGGCCACAGGCCCCTTCATTTTCTCTTCCTGAGGAATTTTGTTAAACGACAGGAGCTGAACACTAAGTCCATCTTATGTTTCGTGTAACGCAGAGCCAACAGCTCCATTCTGGGGACACGTCACCTCGGGGTGGCCACCCTGACCCCCCTCACGTATGCAGAGAAACACACGCGTTGAGCACACAGTACGCAGACGTGCACACGCACAAGCACACACGTTGTTCCGTCGGCGGCCCTCCCGCGACTCGCCGTGACACAGCGCAGGTCAAGGGCACCGCCCGCCCCACCGCGGTCCTGCTCTGCTGGCGACGGTACCCCCTAGACAGCCGAGCTTTGGGCCGTGTCCTCGGGCCAAGATGCTCCAACAACCAGTCAACCCGGACACTGACCTCTGACCTCACCGCCACAAACAGGTGCGCTGGACCCGTTAGAGGCTCCACTCGGGACGAATCCTGCCCGATTGCGGCCCCTGCTCTGGGCGCAGGCCCTTCCGCACCCTCCGGCCCACCTCAGCCTGCGGGGGGGGGGGTGTGACCCAGGAGCCTCGCTGAGGGACCTTCAGGGCGCCGGGCTGAAAGCTGGACGGTCCCAGCCCTGGCCCAGGTCCGCTCTGTCCCTCTGCTTAGGATTCTCCATCACGGGGGGACAAGGGGCTCATCCCTCCTCCTCCCTTCCAGCGCCCTACTCTCCTCTAGCCGGCTGCGCCCGGGAAGCCTGGCCTGCCCCACGGGGCGGCTGGACAACCGTCAGGTCCCCTCCCCGGATGCCCCAGACGGTGCCCCACCATCCATCCCGCCCCCAGGTGGCCCCATCAGGGCGCAGGGGCTGCCTTCCCTCAGGGTGAGGCCCCAGGGAGGCCGCTCACAGGCCTTCCTTCACCCCCGAGACTCCCCAGGCCTGGCCCACATGCTCCTGAGGGCTGTGTGCACCTCACAGCGACGTGAGGGAGGGTGCCCGCTCCACGCCAGGCTGTGGTCTCATCCTCACACACACACATTTGCACGCACACACGCCTGCAGATGAACTCACTTTGTTCCCGTAGGGGACTCTGTAGGTTCGGGGTGAAGCCACCACAGCCTCTCCTGGTTCTAAGGGAGCAGCGACAGCAGCAGGTGTAGCGCTCCAGGACAGACACAGGGGTCTGAGTGCCCGGGGTGACACAGGAAGCCCGTGACTGGACATGAGAACTCCCGGAAGGGGCCTAGGGTTGCTTCTAGAAGCCCTCCTACCACAGGCCGCCGCCTCTGACAGCACAGGCTGGACTGTGCATCCACGGAGGCACCTCGCTCCCCGCCCTGTCCCCGCACCCCCCGGGCTCCGGCCCAGCTCCACAGCCTCGCTGTCCTTCCAGAGACATCTATTTAGCCGTGAGGAGAACGAGCAGGGAGGAAGAGGGCAGGCTACCGGGAAACAGAATTTGGCAGCGAGACGAATGGCCCCAGAGGAAAAGTCAGAGGGGCCGCGGGAAGACGAGCTCACGCCGACAGCACCCCCGCTCACGACGCACGTTGACGCTTGTGCATTTTTCACGGTGCTGGCGAAGCGGGGCCCTGGGCACGGGGGTGGTGGCTCCTTCCTCATCACCCCCCACATCTCGGGGCCCGGTCGCCAGGGAAGGCCCTTCCCAGAAAGCCTTGCTGCGGGCTCCTCCGAGCTGCAGGGAACTTCATGGAGTATCACAGGGAGGAAGGCCCCCGGGGGCCCCGGGACGAGCAAGTCTCCTCAGGACCCACAGAACATACAGGACAAACGGCTGCGCTCTCCCCTTGCTTTTAACTGAAGCCACAGCCCTCGTGAGAGAAGAGTCTGTGCGGCGGTAGCAAGTCTGAGACGCCGGGAGAACCGGTCGGGCCGCCTGGCCCCACGGCTGTGCTCACCTCCTCTGGGTGAAACCCCAACGGGCTCAGACGAGACGCGCCCTCTGTGAGCAGGGCTTCCTTCCTGGGCGAGGCTGCAGTGCTGCGAGGGTCCGAGGTGGTGACACGCGGGGGGCCGCCCGCTGCCTCGTCCACCGTCAGGCCGTCCCAGAGCTCCATCAGCATCAGGACGTCCGGTGCACGTCGCACCCGGCCCCCCCGGCGGTGAGCCGGTCCACACGGCGCATCCCGGGCGGTGGCAGGTGCACCTGTCCCAGACTTGGGGTTCGCTGTCCTTGGTGCAGTGGTCCACGGGGCCACCACTCCGGTCCTGAGACTGGACACCAAATCCACGGCACCCCCATGCCTCTCACCTTCTTTCCGGGTATCGTCCAGTCGCCAGGAATCCCACGTGGCTCCTGGGACACTGAGGTGGACGTGTCCCCTCGAATCATGGCAAACCAGTCGTCGCTGGAGAAAAACAGCCCCCGGGGAAAACACGGACTGTCCGCTTGCCCACAGCGACGGGATCTGCACCCACCTCATCTTTGAATGGAGACGGACCCAAGCCCAGGACCGTCCCCGTGCAGAGGACAGTCCAAGCCAGGCTGACGCAGCTGCTGGCCAGAGGGGGATTCCTACGCCCAAACCGGCGTGCGCGCCTCCTCAAATTCCGGAGCTGCCCGTGTTGGATTCAGGCCTGGGGGTCACCGACAGACTCGGCCTCTTCACCCTCCTCCGTCCGCAGCTTCACCGCTCACTGCCTTTCTCACATTCCCCCCTGTGTTCTGGGTCCACATAAACGTTAGGAACGTGGATGGCTTCCGGGGCAAACGTCCCCATACCCACGATTTCTTCCACCTCCACCACTGAGGTTTTCCAGCTTTGCCCATGGACACGTTGGAATTCCTGGCGCTTCTTCCGAAGATGATGTTTCCTGCGGGGTTGGCCTTCCACCCTTCTGCCCGCAGAACCGGCCGCGATGGCTCGCTGCAGAGGACAGTGGCTCCCGTGACACTCCCTCACCTCTCGGGGCCGGCTCGTGATCGAGATGCTGCCGAAGGGCGCGTACCTGATGTGGGGGGCCTCCTCCTGCACCACAGTCCTGGAGGCCGTGTAGAACGCGGGCACCCCAGCACCCGCCACCCCCGCACGGATGCGCTCGGCCAGGGAGCCCTGGGCTGGCAGCTCCAGCTCCTGCTCGCCCGACAGGGACTGGCTCTGGCACAGCGAGTTCTCCCCCATGTAGCAGCAGATGCTGCGGGTGATCGCTCGGTCCCAGTAAGAGGCCCGGCCCGAAGTCGTCCACCCCATGTCGCTGCTGACCACACGCAAGTCCCTGACCCGTGTCTTGAGCAGCGCCTTGACAGGTTCTGGAATCCCGCAGACCCCTAAGCCGCCGACCATGGTCCTGGCCCTGTGGGTCGTGTCTCTCACCAGCTCCGCGGGATCCGTGTAGGAGAATCATCGCTGGTGACCAGGCTGCACACGGCGCCCTTGGTCTTGGCCAGCACAGGCCCCAAGCGGCCGGCGGGTCACAGCATCCCAGGGCCACCACGGGCCTCCAGAAGGCTGCCATCGTGGGCTCCACCTCTGGGCTCGGGTCCAGGTCAGGGACAGACCGCCACCACCCATCATGGAGCAGGGAGGGCAGGCAGGGCAGTGACACGGGACCAGGCTTCCCCCCATGTCCCAGCCCCTCATGCTCAGAGGGCTCCGGAAGCCACGTGCTTCCAGGCATGCGGGACCCAGACCCTGGACCCTGCAGCCCCACAGGGAGGGAGTGGTGCCTGTGGAGGCCCCGACCAGGTCACTGAGGAGCAGACAGACCCTGGGTCTGGGGGTTGGTGGGAAGACTGCCCTCTTCAGCCCACCACCCTGCGGGATGGGAGCCGCATCACATGGTCCCTCCTCGGCAGCTCTCTCCATGTGAGAGGCCCCAGGGCTCTGGGCGGTCCCCTTCCTTCTCCATGGCCATCCCCTTCCCAGGACCTGCTCCAGGCCCATGGCTCTCAACCCATGTAGACGTCAGCGCTTCCCACACGGGTGCCTCCAGCACTCACCCGTCCTAGATGACGGTCCATCTGACGTTCCCCGGGGCTCTCAATAACATCACCCAAAGAGCACTCTTGGTTTGCTCCCTCAAGCCTGCCCCTCCTCTACTGTTACTCAGGCAGGAGAAAAAAGATTCGATTAAAATGGCCCCTGGCTGGATCCACACTTTCCCCGATTCCTCCTCCACCTGCTTTTCTCCATTTCTGCTGCTGCCAACAAGCCCCTGTCTGCTCCCACCGCACACGTGTGGCTCAGGGCCTCTGACTTGGCTCTTGTCCCGCACAGACTACTCCCGCTGCTGATGTCGGGGGCGGGGACTGTCGCATACATGTGGTCAAGGTCTTGGTCTACAACAGCTGACGTTTACAGAGAAACTGCGAAGACCCTGCAGAGTCCCAGGTGCCCAGGGCCAGTTTCCCCGGGAAATGTTGGCATTGGTCAGCGCGGTGCATTTGTCGTGACTAATGAACCGATGTTGCTGTCTGATGCTGCGCTAAACACGACGGGTTCGGACCCCATCCGTCTTCCTCAATGTCCTCTTCTCCTCCGGGGTCCCATCCACTTGTTACCACTGCTCAGGCCCCGTGGGCTGTTACAGTATCTCAGACCGTCTCCGTATGTGATGACCTCGACACGTTGCGAAGTACTTGTCAGACGTTCTGTAGCGTGTCCCGCAACTTGGGTTTGTCTGACGTCTCTCTAACAGTGAGAGGGGGTTCTGGGTTTGGGAGGAAGACCAGGAGATGAGGGCCCTTCTCATGCCATCATGTCAAAGGGACACAGGACGGATGTGACATTCCTGTGAGCGTTGATCACCTGCCGGGGTCGTGAGGTCAGCTTTCTCCTCTACTTCCCCCCCGCCCGGCCCTCCTGGACTTCGGGGAAGCGAGTCACTAAGCGGAGTCCTACTGGGGTGGAGGGACCCCTCCTCGAGGGGCTGTCTCAGAAGCCTCTTTTCTAAAAGCCGGAATCAGATCCTGTCATCCTCCGCTGCTATGGAATACAGCGAGCTGTCAAGGCTCCAACACCGGGCCCCGCGTCACCCGCACTCAGCCTGCCCCGCCAGCGGTCAGTCTCCTGTCCCACCTCGCCCTGACCGCCCGCTCCAGCCACGGCAGCCCCGTGTGTGGCCCAGAAACGCCCATCCTGCACCCGCCTTCGGCCTCTCCCTCTGCACTGCTGCCCACGAAGGAGGCTCTCCCGGGCTACCTGGGGAATGAGCGCAGGCGTGAAACCTCGTTCTACAGAGGAGGAAACAGACTGGGCAGGGAAGCATCCTGCCGAGGTCACCGGGGGAGAGCGCTGCAGCGCTGGGACTTAAAGCCAGGCCCCTCTGATCCGAGTCTGAGGGTGTGATCCCTTCCCTGAGGCCCTGCCACTACAGACACTCCCCACTGCTCACGCTGCTCGTGGCAGGGACAACATGGACTCTCTCTTAGCAACTCAAATGGTTCTGCAAAAGGAGAGGAGGGAGACTGTGGTGGTGGGGGCCTCCCACCATGGGAACCTCACCCTCTGTGCCCCGCTGAGGCCCCACAGCGGGTAGGGGATCATCACTCAGCCACCGGGCTGAGAAGGGCCAGGCCTCCGGGGCCAGATGCGGGGGGTAGGGGCCGCAGCCACCTCCCGCCAGCAGCTTCGGAGGAGCCCCCAGGAGGAGGTCTGCTGCCCGGGCCTGAGCCTTACCATCTTCCATTTCCACATAGAGGCGGAGCCCCAGGTCCTTGTTCCGGCCCAACAACCAGCGGCCACTGGCTGCTGTCACGTCCAACACCAGCCAGCCCTCGTCCCCAGCTCGGAGCGTCTGAAGATCCAAAAAGAACAAGTCAGACTCCCTGTGGACACGAAAAAACAATTAACTGAGGGCCGGCACAGCTGCCTTTGTGTTTCCAGCCCCCACCTTGGGGCCCACTCGTGGGGCACCTACCCCGCCTGGCTCGGGCTGGGCCCCTCGCCTGCCTCATCTCACCGTATCTACTGTGGGAAGGTGTTGCTGTACCCAGTAGGGACGTGGAAACTGAGGCTCAGGAGCTCAGTGACCCGCCCACGGTCCCACAGCCAGGACACCAGTGGAGGGATTTGCAGCCGGACCAATGCTGGGCTTCTCCCCGTGGTGACGCGAGGCCTCTGGCCATGTGTCCTTCTGTCTCTGAGGGTGTGTCCCCCGGGAAGCTCCCCTCCATCCCTCCATCCTCTGGGGAACGTCCCCTCCACGGCCAGGCCAGACACACCCACAGGCTCATCGGGAGGCGGGTGCAGGGTAGGCACCTGTTGGACTGCTCCCTGACCACCTCGAACGTGCTGATGTGCAGAGTCCTGTTGAGCAGGTGGGTGCTGGCCAGCTTGTAAATCCGGAACTCAGCGGCTGTGACCGCCTCCCCCTCTGGGATCTGGGTAAGGTCAAAGTGGAACTCCTTCCAGTGGGGCTCCTGGTGGCCCAGGGTGCGGTCACGCTCCACTGTAAGACAGAGCGGGGCTGTGGGTCACCTGTGTTCTGGGCAGAGCCGGGAGGGCGCCGGGGGCCTGGTGGCCTGGGTGGGGACGGCTCCCTCCTCCTCTGCAAAGGGGCCTGCTCCCAGGCCCTGCCTCCTGGGGCTGAGACGGCTTCGCACAGGGCCCCGCACACAGTGGTGCCGCAAGAGCAGCCTCTGCCTCTGGCCCCCAACCCCAAACCCAGCCGGCCCCGCCCCATCCCCGCTGGCTCTGGGACCCCAGGATGAACAGAGGCCACATCCCTCCTCAGGGAAGAGGAGCAGGCACAGAACCGAGTGCATTTCTGAGGCCAGTGTGTGTGCATGGGAGCCTGGGGAGGGGAGCGTTTGCAGCTGACACAGGGGCTGGGCCCCGTGGGGTGACGGCACATGGGCCACAGTGTCCCTGGAGGAGGACACCGCAGAAGGAAGGGCCAGCCTGAACACAGGGCTGAGGCACAGACGGCACAGGAAGGGCAAACAACAGCCTTGAGACACAGCAAAGGGCCAAAGGATGGAGGTCCTGCCTGGGGAGAATGCGGAGGAGGAAGGAGGGCCAGGGGGAGACTTGGCAGGAGCAAGGACAAGCAAGGGATGAGCGATCGCCCCTGGGGACACCTGGTCAGGTCCTGGGGAGGCTGGACGGTCCCATGACGTGGTGGGATCTGAGCAGGCTTCCCAGAGGAGCTGCCACCTGCCCTGGCCTTGAAGGACGGGACAGAGTCGTGTCGGGTGGAGCAGGTGGCGGGATGGTATTCCAGGCACAGGGGACCTGGTGGGCGCAGGTGTGGGTGCGGGGGCGCCCGCAGATCAGCGGTGGGGCTGGGCGGTGAGCCTGGCTGTGCTCTGGCTCCGAGGGCTGGCATTCCGGCCTAGGGGCCCGGGCTATGCCTCTGGCCAGTGGGGTTCAGGGTTCTGGGCAGCAGGGGCGCAACGTGGGTTGGGAGGCGGGGGCGTGGAAGACAGAGGAGGAGGGGAAGGTGAGGCACAGGCTGGAGGGGGCCGAGGCGGGCCCGATGGCCGGGCTGGCGTGTCTGGACAGGAGGCTGGGGGGGCGACTGAAGCCCACATGTCCCCCGCTGCCCGGAAATGCCCAGGACGGTATATTTAGCAGCGTCTTACTTTAGCCTCCTGTCACTTTCAAAGGCCACAAATCTGTGTTTCCGGAAAGCAGGGGCGGGAGCCGCCCAGCACCTTCCCCAACCCCGACGCTGAGATTTTAATTACACGTCTGTGAGTCTTTTTAAAAACTGTCTCTCTGGCTACTGGGCTCAGTGACCACAAGTCACCAGGCTGGTGATGGAGGCGGATGTGGGAGCATTTCCTGGCCTCGCGGTGGGGACCGGGTCCAGGGATGGACAGGCAGGCAGCTGGGCAGGGCGGGCCAGTGTCACCGTGACACACATGATGACAGGAGGAGATGGGCTCCCGGCCCCGGGAGCAGAAGGAACGGGACGTCCAGCCTCTGACAGGGTGGGGGGCGCACGGTACGTGCCCACCCCGGAGCCAGGCTGTCCAGGGGGCAGTGTGACCCAGGGTGGGATCCGGGTCCTCCCACGGGGGCAGAGAGTGTGGAGGGCAGGGCTCTGGACCCTCACCGAGGACGTGTGCCACGAATATGGACACACATGTCCCCTCCGCCCTACAGACACGCTCACACCCACACCTGCAGAGCTTTGGTGACATTTTGTGGACTCAGGGACCACAAGGAGCACCTCTGTCACCTGGCTGTGTGAGGCTCCCAGATGTGCAGGACGACACAGGTGGAGGCCATAGGCTGTGACAGGGTGTGGCACAGAGAGTGAAGGATGGTGGCCGGGGGGTGGGGGCGGCCTCCCGACTCCTCCCAGAGCAGCCAGCAGGGACCTGCTCCCCGGGCTGGGGACTGACAGGCGGGTCCCCGAACCCCAGGCAAGCTCGGTCTGCAGGCCCGACGCTGACATCCTGCTGGATCTGGGGACTGAGAGAATGACCCCGAGCCTGCCAGCTCCACAGGGGGGACCGCGCTCTACGGCCTCCCTCCCTGGCTGACCCGGGGCCCACGTGCGCTGGTCAAGGGAGCCTGGTGCACCCAGTTCCAAGCTTCCACCCTGTGGGTTTGTGAAACTGATGAACCGGCCAGCAGTTCAGCCAGGAGACTGCCACCCTGGCTGTCCCAGACGAGCACTGGGAGGAGGGACAGTCTCAGGAAGTCATGTTTTCATCAGAAGCTGATAAATTTGCTGGGATGCAGCAATACATTGGACATGACTAACTGGCCAAAGGGGAGCGCCCCGTCGCTCTGCTGGAACAGTGCATATGCCCAGCTTTCTAGCAGTTGCTTCTGTGCATTTAGTAAAAGTTTTTATTTTTTTATTTTTAAAAGATTTATTTATTAATGAGAGAGAGAGTGCGCGCGTGCAAGTGAGCAGCAGAGACACAGGGAGAGGGAGAAGCAGGCTCCATGCAGGGGGCCCGACGTGGGACTTGATCCTGGGTCTCCAGGGTCAGGCCCTGGGCTGAAGGCGGCACTAAACCACTGAGCCACCCAGGCTGCCCTATTTTTTTTTTTTTTTTTTGTGGGGAGAGCAGAGGGAGAGGAAATCCTAAGCAGGCTCCATGCTGGATCTTGCAACCCTGAGATCATGACCTGAGCTGAAGTCTAGCGTCTTAATATACTTAATTGACTGAACCCCCCAGGTGTCCCAGAATAAGCTGGAGTTGAGGAGCAGCGGCTATTAGGATTTGGATTTGCCCCTACAGTAGTTGCTGGATGGGCAGCCCCTGCTCTCGCCCACTACCAGAGGGTTGAGAAGTATAGGTGCTCTGGCCTGTAACTGGGGCTTCTGACCCTACCGGTGACCAGGTACTTTCCCTGGCTTCACGCTCTTCATCTAGTGGGGATACTAGCAGTCTTTCCACAAAGGGCCCTGAAAGGGCTTTGGGAGGGGCAGGCACTATCGAGTAGGTAGGAACTTCCACAGGAGTGGGGAAGGGGTGCTGGCCCCTGATCTCCTCACTTCATCCCTGTATCAAAGTGACAACATCCTGCCAGTACCAGGAGTTCCTTCATGTGTGAATCTCGAGAGCCATGGGGGAGAAAAGGGAGACTTTCAATTTTCTTTTTCCAAATAAGAGTACGGAATGGAAGGTTCTGTAACATAAAAATATATTAATTCAAGTGAAAGGCATTTGGATGGTCTCAAGCTCCCTCCTATTCTCCTCCTGACCCCTGTCCAGGCACTTGATCCTCTGGGCCTCAGTATCCACATCTGCAGAATGGCCATTTGATACAGGGTCAAGTGGAACTGCAAAAGGCCATGGTTGCTACCATAGTAGGTACTTGGTTCTGGTCCAGAAATGCTTCTACCATATTTCACAGGAGCATTTCCCTCCTGGTGCACCCTCCTGCCGAGTTTGCACTTCCCCAAGGTCTGGAATCTCCCAAAGATGCCCAGGCTCAGAGAGTAGCCCTTCAGAATCACCACTGAGGCCGTTCTGGCTCAGGCACAAAGCAGATAGTGACCCTTTACGAAAGCGCTGAAAATTCCAGAACATCAGAGCCCCAGGGACACAGGTCATCACACACAGTCCCCTTCCCCTTTTCTTTTTTCTTTTCTTTTTTTAATTTTTTTAAATTTATTTATTTATGATAGTCACAGAGAGAGAGAGAGAGGAAGAGACATAGGCAGAGGGAGAAGCAGGCTCCATGCACCAGGAGCCCGATATGGGACTCGATCCCGGGTCTCCAGGATCGTGCCCTGGGCCAAAGGCAGGCGCCAAACCGCTGCGCCACCCAGGGATCCCCCCCTTCCCCTTTTCTATACACACAGAGATGGAACCTAGGGGTCCTGACTCCTGTCTGGGCTGCTTCCACCACATCAGGGCAGACCTCCACCATCTGATGTTGAAAGAAAAGCATAAAAATCCAGTTGGAAGTGGCCTGTTGCTGCTCCCCCCCCCCGCCCCTGCTATTGCTGATGGTCTGCAAAGGGAATTTATGGGAAAGGCCAAGGTCCGTACAATGTGATTTCTTGGGTTTTCCCAGTAAATTTTTTTTGCTACCACTTGTGGGGTTGGGAAGTTCATTTCCCAGCCCGCGGGTAGATTTGGCCAGGATGAAGGAGCAATGGGTGCTCCCTGCCTGGTATGTTCTGGATCCCGGCCTTCTGAGATATGTCCTGCTGGGAATCCTCTGTGGTAGCTCTGTGGGGGACCACTGATGCCTGGAGGAAGATTTCTTGGTAGTGAATTATTCCCCCCATCTTCAATATCTCGGCCAAGGATTTGTAATCTGGAGCGGGGGGGGGGGGTGTTCCCATAATTTCACCTCCTTTAAAAAATTTTTTTTCACCTCCTTTGGGCATGTGGGAAAAGATCCTGATTATATATGCTCAGCAGGCTTTCTAAAAACATTTTTTTCTTTCCCTTTTTTTTTTCTTTTTTAGCATTCATTTTTCCTTGTGACATCCAGGAAAATTAGTTTGTTTACTCATACACATTTGAATGCAGTGCTCCTTGTAGGCAGGTCATGATGGAGGCACAGGTGAGAACACAGCTGAGGACACGGAGTGGCCCCCCAGCCCCAGGGATGTTACGGAGTTTACGGCGCATGGGGAAGTCAGGTATCAAACAAGGGGAAGCAGCTATGAAGGAGGTCAAGGGGGGGGGGGGACTGGGGATAATGCAGGGAGGCTACGTGTGAGTCACTTTGTGCTTTTAACTTTATTTTGAAATAATTTTAGGCGATTTAGATTTAGACAGAACTCTTCTTTGCAAGAATAGTCCAGAGAGTGCCCCTATGCTTGTTACCCAGCCTCCCCTAATGATAATACCATATATAATCAAACCATAGTGTAACTTCAAAACCACAAAACTGGTATTGATACAATGCTATTAAATTTCTAGAATTTTGCCAGGTTTTCCACTATTCATCTCTTGAATGTTCCTGACTTCAGTCCAGGGTCCCACATCGCATTTAGTTGTAAGGCACCCCGTGTCTCCTCCG